ATTTCTTATAGACCGTTTTGCGAATACCGCCATCTTTGTGGTCACGTGATAAATCCTTACGGGCATTTCATTGAAAATGCGTCCCATCATGCCACTGTATCTGCAGCATGATGGGACATAATCTGCAATGAAAACGTCCCAAAAAATTAGTACTTGATCACAGAAATGGCGGTGTCTGTGATGTGAAACGGTCCATGGAAAATGGCTAACAGTAATTTCGATCCAAATAATTTAAAATTCGCGGTACCTTGTCTCTTCAGAACTGAAAGTGCTTTGGACAAAATGATATCATCATCTGAAATTTTGTTTAAATGAGTTGTCACGCCAGAATATTTGATTCCTGGAAACGGAATGTTTTTAATTTCCCATATCAGGATAGCTACTTTACAGTTTTTAAAAATAAATAAGAAGTATATATTTTATGATTTGAATAAATTAATGTTTCTCATTGAGTCTCAAGGCTGTGTCACTGCCAAACGAGGCAATTTACATGCAACTTAATTGTTTCGGGCAATTTCCAAGAAAAAAATTGCAGGCAAATTATAATTAGCTGTAATGTTTAAAGGCGTTTCCATGAGCTATTGGGGAAAAATTTCTCTTTTATCACGGTTCAGTTAATAGCTTTCCGTGCGTTTGGTTGCCTCCTGGTTGGCTATGAACATTACCCCTTGTTACTTGGCCCTAAAAAAAAAAAACAATGACAGTATAATGTAGGCATAATGTTTTATAGATTTGTCTCTTTTTTTTGCAGTTTTAAAATCTACATTCTTATAATAATTATAATCACAAGGAATTTGCTAGCGCTACCAGTCGGGATTGTGAGCTTTGCCATAAAATGGCGGAGATCTGATGTCTTCGTCCGAGACATTCGGGTGTAGTCTGCCCGTGTCGAGGGCGATGAGCTCTTTAGGGGCGGCACCAGCCCCGGCGAGACTGACCCGGTCGAGTTCTACCGTCTCCTCAGTCACGACTCCCCCATGACCTTCCAGATGGGACACACTGGTGTTGATGAGAATCCGCGGCGACGCAGTGCGGGGGTTGTGGGCCTTGAGCGGCGGCAAGGAGCCCCCAGGTTCCTTGAGGTGGCCCGGTAAGGGAGGCACTGGGTGGTGCTGGCCGGAGTCCTTCCGTGAGTGGGGCAAGGTGGGTGTGCTGCTCGTTATCCTGATGGCAACCATCTCTTGATTTAGAGCTTCGACAGAGGATGACCTGCCTCTACCATCTCTCTCCTCCAGGTTGTCATCTGTTGGCGACACGGAGCTAGTGTCTGTACCAACTAGGCAGGAGGTCAGTTTCTGGAATCTAGGATCCTCTGCACTCCTTCCCATTCCTGCCGTTAATAGGTTGTCCTCCGATTTGGACGATCGTAGAGCACTCTTAACAGAAGGAGCTAGGTAGCTCATGGAGCCTTGGACCTTGGCGAGCTCGCCTGGGGTACGAGCCCGTCTGGCAGGGGTAAGGCCCCTCTCCCACGGCCGCTGCTTGGACGAACTCGGCGGGGTAGGAGAGGATGGGGAGGTGGGAGTGTTTGGTGAGCTATCACTCAGATCAGAGTTTGATTGTTGTCTCTTCCCGTCCTTGTAAGCGTAGACGGTGATGGCAGGCGCGCCGTAGGTGGGAGTTGAGGTACCGGCAGCTCCGGGCAGGTTGGAGGTGGACCGGGATCGGTGGTGGAGCACAGCGGGGCTCAGACCCGGCCCAGCCGACCTGATGCGAAATCTAGCCCCGTCCTTACCCGAATCAGGGATTGTCAGGGCATCGCCACCTGATGCCGTGGTCCGCGATGGACTGGCACTGGAGCAAGCTTTTCTGCTGTTGATGGGCGAGTTGGGTGTGCTGCGAACTTGGCGAATATTCCGAGGACTACTGTCAGGTGGTGGGATAGGCGGGAGCAAGCGGTTACCCCCGCCGGCAGAATCGGCCTTCCTCCCCACGGCCGAGTCGTCAAAGACCCGGTGCTTGCGGATGTCGCGGCACATCTGTCTCATCTGCTTCTCCTCCCTCTCCCTCATCTTCATGTGGGCTCTGGATTCCCGATCCAATCGATCCAGCTTGAGAGCCAGTTTGCGATCGCCCACGCCGGCCTTCTCCAGCACCAGGTCCTCTTTGCTGGCCTGGGGTTTGCTGGTCGAGTAACAAGAGGTCTTCATGACTCCACCCAGGCAGCGAGTCTGGAGCGGCGAGGGCCCGCGGGGGCTCAGCGCCGTCGCGCCCGCCGAGCCCTCCAGTAGCTGTCGGTGACTTTGTAGGCTGTTGGTCTTGAGTGGCATACTGACGGCAACATGGGTTCGTCATACACACAACACTCCTCTACTATAGAGAGCTTGGGTGTGATTACATTATCGAACCAGTACACGAGGGTTGATGTCTCGTCCGATGTCGATCATGCCACACTGAAGTGGCTGTAATGATCCAAAGCACTTGTCTTGGCACGATACTCCAAATCCAAAAGAAACACACCGCACGAGCGGCTTTCCACACAACGCCACTCGGCAAAAACCTTGTGATTATATTCCAAATGTCCCCGTCCAGAATCCGCAGATGGAAATCACCAGGACCTTGCACTAACCCGTCCCAGCATAGCGCACAGTCATCATCTTCTCCCGTCTAGAGTCCGATAGTTCCTCCCTACTTGTAGGCGAGTACTTCCGACCACCGCTCACTAGCATTACGACCTCAAACGCACTGCACGACATCACCCTAGATTATTGCATTAGCATACATTATAATCCCAGTTGAGAAAACCTCGCGCGCTATATGGCTCGTGAAGCCGACGATATTTACCATCACACCGACAATTGCTTTCAATTGTAGCTTTTAACCCAATGTACCAATTCGTGTTCCCATTTACACTTTGCATCAGAGGTCAAAATCTATACCAATCTACAGTACACTGCCGAACAAAATGAGCCCTGTATTGAAACATGCTGTTGCGTAGGAACGGCCGAACGCTTGAGCAAATAAATGACACCAACATCATCTCCTGACGAAATATTGACGATAATTTATTTTTTTTGAAAGTGCAACTCACGGCCAGCAGTTTAAGCACGCTCTTAAAAGTAGAGACCACTATGCAAAATATTATATGCACTAAATTACTAAATATTTTAAATTGCTTATTATATGTACTTCCATTAATAGCTTACATTTTTCTACTGTCAATGACAGTGGGTTCAATATTGTATGTGCTCATAAATTTTTGCGTGTTATCAGCCTCGTCTTTGGTCATTAGTTCCAAGTGAATGCACACTTATCTAACCACTCTAATAGCTATACTCCCACCAAGTGCTACAGTCATCCTTGCCCTATATTATCCCTTGGTGTAGAAATTGAACAAACAATGGAACAAATAAATTGCAATACGACAGTGCCAAGTAGGGCTCGCGGCTGTCAACAGATGGCGTCAACAGGGGGCGCTATCACACCGGAACGATCACACACACTCACACCCATTTTGAAGGACTTCAATGAAACTTGAAGCTACGGGAAAGTCATAAAGCCTTTTCACTTTTGCTGGTTCCAGAGGCCAAGCCTGCATGGGCTCCTCACTAACTGTCTGGCAGTGCTATCGTGTAGGAGTAGTAACCCCGTAACGCCAGTGTATAGCATATATCCAGCCCATTGTGTGGACCAGAACTGCCCCAATCTAATTGCATTTTCCCCAGCAATATTAAAGTTATTAACTTTTGAATGAGACATCGAACTTTCTCATTCAAAAAGTGAATAACTTGATAAATGCAATTGGGTGCAAAATGATCGAACGAAAAAAAAATAACCTGACGTTTAGGCCAAAAATAAAAAGTCTCCGGTTTCTGGTATGGAGCTTGCCCAAAAAGTGGTGCGGCGACGCGGCTTTTTTTTTTTTTTACTTGATTTTTTTGCTTCAAATGTCGGCTGATGACTGCAAATGGTGCCCGACTAAACTTAGTGCAAATATATGGGAGTCCAGAGAGGCCACATAAAGCTTATTCTCGACCATAACCCAATCTAAAAACACATTAAAATTGTGCAAAAGCAGGATTCAAGTCAAACCAGTGAGTTTGGCGGTTTTGAGACATCATCTTTCATTGAAAAAAAAAATCGTTTTCATTTTGCCGACGCGCATGGCTACGGCGACGCGCGCGCATACCAGAAACCGGAGACTTTTTTTTTGCCTTAATTATGGAATCATTTCTTCACAAAATTCGAATTATCTGCCAGACAATAATTCGGCTCTCGCAGGAAGGTTTCCTTCGTGCGCAGAATTAAAGCCCTTTTTCAGAGGGTTAGACGCCCAAAATCGAAATGAAGTAAATTTTTACCATTAAAACAAAACACTCCATTATAATTCGATAGGAGAAAAAATTACATAATTATTTGGAATGTTCACGGGGTATGCCACTTTAATGTGTTTTGTCATCTCCTGTGCATACAACAGTCATGAAAATTTAATTGTAAATAGAGACGAATGATGAATAAAACCATTTTATAACCATTGCAACAATTATTGATGTGTTAATAGTGAGTTTAATAAGTATATGTGCTTGAATTACATTAAAACGGATTATTTGAGGGTGTGACCGTACGGGAGTCTACATTGGGAAGTTGACTCTTTTGTCGAGTAAAAAAAGGCCATTCTTTTAAGTTGGTATTTTTATTTCAAATGTTTTACTTTGAAGTCTTCTCTTTAGAGGAGACATCGATTTTATTCATATCCATGCATGCTTTTGAAGCGCTACGGTATAGGCGTAACCTCTTAAACCTTGCGCACGGCACGAAAAAAAAGTAAAAGAAAGCGGTCTCAGCACATGCGCGTTGTTAAATAATAAACTGTACATAAATTCATGATTTCTTAATACATTTCCTCAAAATAATGTCAAATATATATTTTCTTCCTTTAGTATTTTTTTTTGCAACACACGTGTACATCCTGGATGAAATGCGTCTTTTTTTTCCTTTTCTTTTTAAAGTGGACGAGCCCAAAACACACCTCAAAAAACCAAAGCAGTAAAAAAAATGAACACTGGTTACTATGGCAACCCGACTTTTCCCGCCATTTATTAACGACGTATGAACGTGAGTCGGCTGCTCAAAACATAAATAACCGATAACCTTTGCCGTTATAGGCCTAAGGTTATTTATTCACTGCGGTATCTCCAAACAGTTCACAATTGAACGGTTTATATAACGGTAAAAAGGTCGCTTTGTGTCGTTGACCTTGCCTACGCTAGCGCCGCGGACATGCACGAAGCGCAAGTACCGGTGGAAAAAATCACAAAAGATTAAAAAGGTTTGTGGTTTTTCAGTGTGTTTATTTACCCACGGACTCGCATCCTGTTGTCGTCGAATTCAGACCATTTTTAATCGTCATTGACAGAGGAGACGGCGGAACGTGTGTTTAAATGTTCATCCCGACTGTTAACACGTGCTGAAACAGGTGAGTGTTCAATGCGCGCCTTGACTACAATAATTACAAATAGCTTGCGGTTTTATGCTTTTGTCTGTGCAGACTATTGTCTTGCTAGATTTTAACGTATATGCAGCAGCATAACGACATCATTATGTAAAACGAGAGTGGAAGCGCAGTCTGCTTATGGTGGACAAAAGAGTGAGTTTAATTCGTTTGTGAGGAAGAATTGTGTTTGTCTTGCGCTGTGGCCCGCATTGCAGCGGACTCTTACTCTTAGACTGTATGCGCTGCATAGTGCGGGCCATAGACAACAAGGACTAGTGTTGCTCATGATATTGCTTTCTTGTAAGGCCACATTTTTAAGGCATCATGCTGTCCGATTTTCTCCAAGGCCCAACATTTTGGGGGCCTACTTCATTCACTGGCAGTACCTAAGCAGATAAGGCAAGTATTTGTAGTTTTTATAAACACTGTAATTTTGCAAAACCAAGCTGATTCACAAGGCATCACTGAAAAAAAAAGAAAATTGCATTTTCTACCAAAAGATTCGCAATAAAATTACACAAAATGGTGTCATTAGAATTAAAAGAATAGGTTGCAGAAGTCATTTTGGAATGGTAAGAAAAATACTCTTGACTCTAACTTGGCTAAAACTAAAGAGAGGCCCATATAAGCCTATAACTACACAATTGCCGATTGATTATGATGTTGGATACATTATCTCATAATTATAATTTTAGGTGAGCGTGATACTTGCCAGTAAGTGGCAATATGTGTATAATTTTTTTTGGGGGGGGGGGGGTGGATGCCAGAGGTTGGATATAAGAAAGGTGGGTCCCTTTCCAACATTAAGGTTAAGTTTGTGGCAGAACATTGTGGAGTAATACATTTTTTTCCTATTGACCATTTCGTGCAGTGGCATACCTAGGCATTGTGTGTGTACTGAGTGTGGGGAGGGTTCATATCATATATTTATTTGTATATTTATTTAATTTCCCTCCCCAAAATGAAAAACCAAACATTTAAAATAAGTGCAAGTGTGGTTGGTTATAGCCATAGAGGCACTCCCACTAAAACCTGTCCTTGTTCCCCATTCCCAAAATTCCCCTGTAATCCAGCCTTGGAAACAGAATATCACATTGTATACAGTCCTTGAGTAGATTTATATACTAGCTCTATGCTCATACTATAAAGCCAACCACACAGCTTAGTCTGACAATGATCTCTGACCTTGGCTTCCCGCTGTCAAGACTCGGATTTCTTTTTTTATAGCCCAGCCACAGATGCACATTAGCACATGGTCTGCCTCGGTCTTTGTGTTCATTGTGAGTCTGCAGAAGCCAGACTGAAAGCCAAGTTGAATCGAGGTGTGATCTCCATTCAACAACATGGCATACAAAACTGTCGTTATCATTCTTCTTGGTAAGTACTGTTTTTGTTGTAAACTAGTATAAGCTGTATAAGAATAAGAATGTTTTTGAACCTGAATATGTTTCAGTACAATCATGTTTCAGTACAATCATGGAGGAAGTCTTCCTCCATGGTACAATCCAGTTGTGCCAGGAATTGTAACAGGGGGTGATGAGGATTTGAAATCCAAAATTTGTGTGTAATTTTGCAGTTTGTGTGTACATGTAATAACCATGTTATTCAGCTTTTAGCTGTGAACTGGTTTAAACAAATATGAACGAATAAATGAATGAATTTGTGTTAACACGTTTAAAGGGAATATACAACATTTGTATCAATTACTCCATTTAAATTTAAGTGGGGTCAGGGAACCAGACTACAAGAACATGATTGGTTTTTTTTTGGTGTTTCCAACGTCTACGAACACAAAACTTCAAATAAGTCAGTGTATCAATGTGCTATAAAATTCTAATCCCCCAAATCCATCCATTTCTAGAAAAATACAGAAAAAGCAAATTTTGTGTAGGGGGAGGGGGTGCTAAATGTTGGAAGATTTTGTTGAAGGGGGATGGGTAGCTGAAGTGTTGAAGTCACTTTTACAGAGACAAAAAGCTTGAAGCAACCAACTGATATTTATAGTTGTAGATAATGTCATGCCTTCATAGAAAATGAGGTTTGTTTTTCCTGTAATATGTACTACAACCGGTTTTAAACTATTAACTTCATGTCATTGCACTCATTTTTATTCGCAAGTTCCAAAAATGAAGATATTACCTCGCATTCAATTTAATATGGCCGACTTGTGAATAAAACCTATTCCTGTGAATTTTCTGAACTCTGAATGATGCACAAAGAATTCCTAAAAGAGGACCCCATATAATCAGAAATTTGTTGAAGACAGAAAATAATTGTGTAGGAAAAACAGGATACCAGCCTCAATATCATGCCATGCATGTTTCTAGTCACTGGTGCCCAGCCAATGCACATACATGTGGCTTTTTATAGCAACATTGTTTTGCAGCCCAGTAATATTGGTCCCAAAAGGAAATTACAAATTACACATATCCAACCATTAGGCGTACTCATTGTAGCATAAGGAAAATGCATGAAATGGAACAGATTTACAAACATATTCATTATAAATTAACCCTAACCCCCTAGGCCTCTTTGCTGGGATGCACCCTCAATCCTACTAAATTTTACACGGCCTCAATCCTCCACAATCATCCGTTAGCTCTTGAATTTGTTCAGAGGAGGAGTGAACACAGCCTCAATCCTGCAAAAATCCTCCAACGATCACTGTTGATATTTTGAGGCAGTGTTGATGCTATCCAGAAGCAGTTCAGACACTTTCAGGTATTATTTAGGCCTAAATTTAGGCACCACTGAGCATAAACAACACAAGGTACAGCCTAAGACCTTGACACAGTGCATCCTCCAAAATCAACTGATACATGTGTGCCATATAACCTCAATCCTTCTAAATCCTGCACTTGTGTGATGAGGGTTTTGGGTAGGTTTAAGCAATTTAGACAAGAGCAAAATAATTAGTATAGTAAAAAATAATTTCCCCACTGTTTGTAGTATAAAGAGAAAATTTTGGCATGCACTTTTATCAGAAGCATCTACTAATTTCATATCTTATGTTATCAAAAATACACACTAACGTTAATTGAGACTCTTTGTCCAATGCACCTGTGGCCAGAAAGCCAGATAAAACGAATTGCCTCAGGCCGAAAATAAAGTTTGTTTACCTCGTATTAATTTAATGTTATTTTTTTTTCTAATTTCTTAAAGCGAGTGCCAATCCAACAAAAGGCCTACTTGGTCTTTCATCTATTTCTCAAAATTTGCCTGGAGATACATATATTTACTGGCACTAGCAAAAAGAAAAAGAAAGGAAGTAAAATATTTACCTCTGATAAAAAAACAAAAATTTAATGCCTCTTTTTCAGTTGGTATAATGACAGTATTGTATAAAATAACCTGCAAATTTTGAAATGTGTCAATAACTGTTCTTCACATCATAGTCTTGCTCTTTTGTTCTCTTTTTCATCACCTGGTTACAAATATTGGAAAAGCTTTTAAATATAAGGCTGTAATACTGGCAATGTCAACAGGTTGATGGTCTTCTATTGAAGGGTTATTTATTCTAGAAAGGTTGCTTGTATTTCACGAGACAAAGATTTTTTTTACTATGTGTTTTTCCTTCTTTTATCCTTGTAGTTGCTGTTGTAGCAACTCTCCTGGTAGGCATCCCAAAATCCCCCAGGACAATTACGCCGGCTAACCCAGATGATCCGGAGCGACTTCCAGAGGGTGTGGTCAAGAAAGTTCTCATAGTTGGTAAGTCTTGAAGCTTCTGTAGCCACACCCAGGCCACACCCAGGCCACACCCAGGCCACACCATTTCCACGTCAGTAATGACCATCAGGGTTAATTGCCACCATACACGTACAACACAATTATCAAATTTATTTTGGGGGGCTGTCCATTAATAGTGGCCACGCCCATGCAACTCCCTGGCCACACCCCTTTCCCAGTCAATAAAGCCATTGAAACTTCAAAGTTTTCTATTCAAACTAGTCAACTGACCCTGAGGGGTTGCATGATGAGTGGTTTAAGCCAGACGATGTTGAAATGTTTCTCTCAAGTTTTGAAGAAAAAAAAATTGAAGCATGCAGTGCGCTCGTATCATTTTGCTGATGAAGTAAATCTAATATTGCATAAGTAAAATCACCCAGAGAAGGACTTTGTTAGATATTTTTGCGTTAATCTTTGCCTCACAAATGGATTTCATTGATGAGATTGGCTTGAGAAAATGATTCAGACATACATACAAAAACATTTTTTATTGCTAACAAATAGGCAATATGTGAACTTCGATTTAGTATTACAGCATCACACATCAGCATTGTTCAGGTTATTTTTTCCCATATAAAAAAGAGGTGCCAAAAAATCATTTTCCCATTAAATTTCACCGACTGCTGCAGCTGTTGTAAACCTAATAATTGAACAATGAAACCTCGCCAAAAAAGCAAATACTGGTTCATCTGATAAATTTTAATTTTATAATAGTCTGTTCTGCCCACCACTGATAATTTCCTTTGACTGCAGTGTGATTCTTATCTCCCAATAATACAAGAGAATATCACCGTTTGCATATTTTCCATTGTATAAGCAATATGGGACAAACTGTATGAATTTAGAAAACTAAGAAAGTGTTTACACGTTTGCTTTTCATGTCCACACTTTTGATAGTCACTGTTGACTTGAAAACAATGGATCATGGTAATATTATGATTAAAGTTAGGCCCATCAGTGTCTTTTTGTATTTGTATAATGAGTTCCCACATTTGATGGTACCTTATTAAAGTTGTCTTACCTGTACTTTTCAACATTTCATTCGTTTTTCTTGTGATGACTTTTCATTTTGTATTGTTTATTTCAACAAGAAAAAAAACCTACTTCTTTGTTCTAATTTGGATTTTTTTCAAAAGATAGGTCTGATTATTGTCCGGCCACAAATAATTCAAAATCTGTGAAGTAATTATTCCACAACTAAATGTGGACGGATATTTTTGGTTTGATGTCTCATTCTCAAGTAAATAACTTTTGTACCGCTAGCAAATATGAAAATTGTAAATTAATAATCTATTTTTTGGGTGAATTTCGAAAATAGCATGAAGAGAGAAACTTTAATGTAAAAGTGTAACCTACAGCAAAGTATGCTTTATTTAAAGGAAATCTCTCAAAAATGAGTCAGGACATTGTTAGTTGTAAATTTGGATCTTAAAAATCAGTAATGTTATATTTTTTTTTATATGAAAAGTATTAAAACATAGTTCCCAACTGCCAATCAGTTTTATTAATTCAATCCTTTTTTCGTATTTCAAATGATAGGCGGGGGCCTTGCCGGCATGTCTGCGGCTTTGGACCTGGCGGAGCGCGGGTACCAGGTGACGTTGCGGGAAGCGGACTCTGCCCTGGGAGGCGTCTACCTACAATCCAAGCCGGTGCAGAAACTCGGACAGACGTTTATCGTTGACAGAGGGATGCAAGGTGATTGGGTTGGACTTCATGCTTTTCCCTAAAGAAGAGACTCAATTCTCTTCTTATCGAAGCTCTCAAATAATTTGCGAAATTGAATTTCAATAAAAGTGTGGCATGTTACAAACAATAAACCGCACAACCTTCAAGTTTTTTCATCATCACCACACACACTTTTCAAATATTTGAATTGAAAAGGCTGCTGTCGGATATTTGGTTGACAAACAAATTTTCAAATATTCAGTGTATTCAACCCCGAGATTGTAGGTGATCATTTGGGAATTGGACTCCTAATCTTCGACGTAATGTTGAACCTTTTTGGTTTTTTGGCTATTCTTCTTTTCAGCCTGGTTCCACAATTTCCACAGTGCCTGGGAATTGATCCATCGCCTGGGCGTCGAAGACAATTTCCGCCGTTGGGAGGTGCACGACGTGGTGTACAGGAAGTACGAACCGGAACGCATGTACAGCCACGGCATATTCCCATTGAATCTTGCCGGTATGTCACAGGGTCTAGACCCTACACCCCCCTACCCCCCCCCTACCCCCACCCCCTTTGGCCGCATATAAAGATGAAAAACATGCAGAAAAATGTAGCTCATGCCTGCTAACTCTCACCCCCCCCCCCCCCCACCATGAGCCGACCCCCCCCCCCCCCCCCACCCCCTTGAGCCAAAGTTGGGTCCCCCCTGCCAACAAAGGAAAAATTGTTGCTGGCAGCATATTGACTTTGGCAGCAACATTTTATTTCAGCAGTTATAAGCATTGAAACATAGTTTATGTAAAAATCTCTCTTTACTGGTCATAATGCCCAGGTTGTATTCAGACAAACAGTTGAAGAGGTGGCTTTTCGCATGGAGGATATTTTTATGAATTTGTGTTTAAATATTGTAGAAGGATCAATAAACATTACAATGAGGAACTCCCAGGTTTTTTGTAACTTGTTCTTAACAAAAAAATATAAAATTTCCTTGGCAGTTTTCTTGCTGAACAACTGCAAAAATTAAAAACAGTCATTGGTTGCTTTAGGCTTACACATAAAGTGCCCATGCAATATATTAATTTCTGTATTTTGGTGCCTTTTTTTTTCATGCTAATTGCAAATTTTTATATTCCTGATATGAGTAAAAGCTGTGGTGTTATGTCAGAATCTTAAGGTTACAGCTATTTCAGCCTAAAAGGTTTCTAGAATTTTTGATATTTTGCTGTCGTAAATTTTCATTTCTTTGGTGATTCATTGTTGTGTATGCTTTTTGGCAGTAGGCCAATGAGCAACGTTTTCTTAAAAGTGTTTTCAATGAGCAACTTTCGAGTTCACATATTGAACAGAAAACCCCTAAACTGAACAGTGTCTTCCCAGAATGACATCACAGCAACGGGGCTTCAGTTGTCTGGAAAAGCATAGATGTCTGAAGAAATACACTTTTTAAATTATTTTTTGACAGAAATCGTGCCTTTTCAAAAATGGCTTTTCAGAAACTTAAATTTGACTTACGCTATGTATATAAATGATGCAGATGTCTTCTAGCAATTAAAACCTCTTTAACCATAACCCCAGGCCCTTTTGCTAGGAACCATCCCCAATCCTCCAAAATCCTCCAAAATGTTGCCCTATGTTTAAATGAAAGATACTCAGTGCCTCAATCCTTCAAAATCGTGAGACAGTTCTGCCTCTCAAAATGCATTCATCCTCAATCCTCCAAAATAATAACACTCTTCAAACACCATTCATCCTCAATCCTCCAAAATTCTCATGTGCTTCAACATCCTTCATCCTAAATCCTCAAAAATCCTCATGTTTCACAAACACCATTCATCCTCAATCCTCCAAAATCCTCCAAACCGCCAGGAGGATTTAAAAGGATTGAGATGGGTTAGGGTTATTGATGCAGAAGTCTTCTAGCACTGTAGCGCCCGAAACCGCCCTGCTTTTTACGTAGTGCCCGAAATTGCCTGACAACCTTATTTATTATAGATTTATCAGTGAATAAACACATTGTGATACAATTCAGGCGATTCACAATGCAGTGCGCCACCAAGAGTTTGCCATGGAGAGTCAACTTTTCAAGGTTACAGTCGAAAAAACATGGCCCCATTTGAATGAGTGTCAGTAGATAATTTGAGTTAATTTGTTATAGATATGGGCATAGCGTTCTGCCGCCTTATCAAAAATCACCATATTGATACAAAGAAAAGAAAAGGGCAAACATATACTCAAATCATATGCTTATGGAACTACTGACCGGAAAAACGAACAATTTTGAATGTCCCACGCTGTTAATTTGTCGGCCATCTCCCACAATGCACTGAGAAAAATGAACTCTCTGTGGCAAACTCTTGGTGGCGCACTGCATTGTGAATCGCCCGAATTGATAATGGATAATCATAAGACTTATATGCTGTCGTTTGATGTTTCTATTGGTCCTCAAGGCATGATCTTCCGTAGCCCCAATCTCAACATCATGGAGATCCTTCTGTGGCTGCGCTGCGCCTGGGATTTCATCAACTACAACCATGACACCAACTTCAAGAGATGGGACTCTATCTCCTTCGGTAGGATCCTCGATGCCTCCCTCTCTCGCTCATCTATTCCCTCCACACCCCCCCCCCCTTCCCCTTCATAAAAAATGAACTACAGCCTGTCCCCCCAAAAAATTCTGCAAGCAGAAACGGGCTCTGTGTCGTTGGAATATTGAAAAATATTTCATGACGCTTGTATAATGTAACAAAAAATTACAATAATACAAAATCCTATTTTATTCATGTACTGCATTCTGAAAAAAAAGGAGAAAAAAAACCTCCTTTTTTTATCATGTACTATTCTGGTAGAGTGCGCTTTTCTTATATTCCGATGTGCAAATCTTAACTCATTTTTTTCATGTACTGTATTCTGATATTTGTATGTATGATGGTAAATGTTTTAGTAAGTTTGGATTTCTGATTTTGTGTTTTTAATTTGTACGCATTGTGACAATTTAGCCTCTGGCTACAAATACAATGTTTAATAAACCAGAATAATAATAATAATAAACCTGGGATGTTCAGCTTTCAAATGTTTTATCAATTTTCCTTTGCCAAACCAGAGATGTGGTCCGTTGAACACAAACACTCAAAAATCAATTTGTGCCACTGTCTACATTGTTAGGCCTAATAATGACAAGACATGGCACCTGTTCAAATCCGACTTCAATTGAGGTTCGCAATTCCAGAAGATATGTTTTTATTATGATGATTTGGAGAGTGTGTTACAAATAATGAAAAGAACATTATAATATGAAAATCAAAAGTGTTTCTTCTCACCTATTCATTACTAATTGTTTTTCTGCACGATCATACATGTGTATGATACTGGCAATACTGCTGTTTATAGTATCAACTTACAGAAAGTGGCACAAATTGATTTTTGAGTGTTTGTGTTCAACGGACCATATCTCTGGCTTGGCAAAAGCAAAATCGATAAAACAAATAGCATTTGAAAGCTGAATATCCCAGGTTTAACATTATATAAGCATCATGAAACATTTTTCAATAGTCCAAGGACAAAGAGGCCGTTTCTGCTTGCATTTTTTTTTGACAGGCTGTAGTACAATTTATACAACTGGCATACAGATCCTTGTCATTTGATTGGTGGAACTCACATCACGTGACATTTGTTATTGCTCCCATTCACGCGGGGGCTCCAAAAGTCCTATTCGCCCATGGGATTGGGATTTACTATTCAACAGTTAAAAGGATCGTCCTTGTTCCATGACGCGGTATTTGTGTGCAAATGCATGATGGTGTAGGCGTTCAGCGTAGCGCGTATTGTTCCAAAGAGCCAGCGCTACAGCGTTGGGTTCAAACATTTTAGTGAATGGGTGGTTTGGAATAGAGAAATACATTTTCCACCAATTTTGTATTGAAATAAAAGTTCAAATATCAAATGACAAGGATCTATATTTAATTTATAAAAATTAAATATTGAGTGGCTTTAAATTGTGAAATGCGAGGAATATTATCGCTCGGTAAAATCTGGACTTTTTCAGCTCACTCGGCTTTGCCCTCGTGAAATGGGAAAGTCCAGATTTTACCTTGCGATAATATTCCTACCGTTCCACTCTGAGTCACTCAATATTTGTATACTGTTTTAAACATTTAAGCATCTATCATATTCATGACTACAAAACAGTAGTAATTTGAAGGCATTTTTCACAATGTTTTACTTTTTTGACATGTCGATGAAAGTCGTCCGATTAAAATGTCCGATTAACCCTCACCGAACTCAACCCATCACAGCCCAACAGCAGGTTTTGTTTAAATCTGTTGGGATAGGTACAGTACCCCTAAACAGATGGTCTTTTACATTGGGTTTGGCATACCTCAAGTCCAACAGTGTGTGTGTACAATTTCCCATGTGAGTGTTGGAATTTGCCTGAATGGGTACGATTCCTAGTAAATTATGCTTGGGAGTTAGGGTTAATTAAATTGCAACAAACAGCACCGTCAGGAGAATTTGATTCTCTTTCCTAATACCCACAAATTCTCATTTTGCCCTCTGCCCAGTTCTGTCTCATTTTGCAAGAAAGCCTCACAAATGCTGGTTCCATCAAACTTTTAATCCCTTTTTTTCTAATTGTCATAACACCTTGCAGACGAGTACATGGACATGTTTGACATCCATCGTGGGTTCTATGACATCGTCCTGGAGCCCGGCATGAAGGCCAGTTACCAGGACAAGTCCACGTTCAGCGCTGCCGAGATGTTCCTCTTCTCGCACATGTTCTACGTCAGCAACCCTCAGGTAAAAAAGAATTAATTACTTGACGGTGGCGGATTCCAGGATTTTTACAAAGAAGGGTGGCGCAAAGCTTTTCAAGGAGGGGTGGGGGGGGGCAATTAGTGTGTTGCGGTCAATGCATAAAAATGCCTATTGCGGAATCAGGCGACCAGAATTAGAATCCATTAATGCGGTTCTGCCACGTTCGCACGCATGCTGCACACGTTCTTAAAGACAAGGCACGCGTACATTTTGGTAACTCTATTAATTGAAGGAACATGACGTGTGTGCATCCCATAGTTGCATGAAATCGGCTGCAGAAGTTTTTAATACCATTTATGTTGTTTTTTTTCCATTTACCAGGCTGATTATCGAGATATAGCTAAGATGAACCAAGCGACGGCCATCATCAACCCGTGGGCTGACAAGCTTCGTTCACTCGATGTCAAGTAGGTTTCTTTCCAAAATTTCTAATCGAGAATGATCAAATGTTTTACAAATAGTGGTGCGGCATATAGGGACAGAATTGTGCATTTTGTGATAAAAGCATGAAATGTGAGGTCTTCATACCATAACAAAACATTTGCAGATATGGAAGCATTTCATATCAAAACATTTCAGATAAAGAAGCATTTCATATCTGATCCCTGGTGACCTTTGAGGGGTCAATGACCTTTGAATACTCTATTTATACCTATTGTTATTGAAATCATCATTTTCCTATGTTCTAAGTCTATGTATAGTCTTCATACAATGTAAAGAAAGACCAAATGCAAAAAAAAATCACAATTGACCTTTGATGACCTTTCTGAGGTCAATGACCTTTGTATTAACTGCACTAACTATTATAGTTATTTATACGATTTACCCTTTAAACCCCAATTTTTTTCAAGACCCAAGTCATAATGTTAAGTGGCTTATGCTATGAAAAGAATTTCATATGTAGGAATCTCATGTCTGACCTCTGATGGCCTTCAAGGCGTCAATGAACTTTGCATATCCTATTTATAGATAATAAGAGGATTAACTATTTAAAACACCACTTTTTTGTTAACCATATCTAAATTTTAGGTATTTTTGCCATGATATACATTTTCAGATATGTAGACATTTCATATTTGACCTCTGATGACCTTTACGAGGTCAATGAACTTCGCGTACTCTAATTGCCGTTATTTATCATGTTAAACTTCCAAATATGCCCTTTTTTTTTCATGACCGAAGTCTAATCAGATCAAAAAGAGTGTATTTTAATAATTATCCTACAACATGTCAGGAAGTCATGACCCCAAAGAATTTTTTTGCATGACCTCTGATCTCAATTTTCCTTTTTATGAGGGAAGACGCAAACGCGAAAGAATATAAGCGGCACATCGGACAAGCATCACTCTCTAACAGTGACTGTTGGACTTGGTAAAAAGGTTAAAAACGTGGCTATCCAAGTCCATCTGGATAGAGCAGGGTGTAATATTAGTACACAAGAGTGAATGTTGCTTGACATATGTACATTGCCAATTAGAAAACAGACCCACAGATTTATATTCCAATCTCATCATATTGCGTCTGCCAATAAAACAAGGAGAAACGAGGTCAAAGGTCACCTCAAAGTTGTTTGTGGGGTCTGATTCTGATGACTATAAAGATGACTATAAAGAAATATGTGCAATACTGTTCTTTGGCACTATTGAGGCTTGGGTCACACAAAAAATGGAGTTTTGACGAATAAATATGATAAATTACAGCAACTAAGATATACAAAGTTCATTGACCTCTCCAAGGGTATCACTCCGCAAATATGATTCCCCACATCTGAAAATTCTTTTAATGTCACAGAGTTAAGTTTTAGACTTGGATTATGAAAAAAAAGTGGCATTTGCAATTGTGTAAATCTTATTAATATTCGTATGTAGGCTATTGTAAAGGTTCATGACCTCTCGTAAGTTCACCAAAGGTTGAATATGAAATGACCTATATATGAAAATTCTCTTTATAGCATGAACACCTTTCATTTAGACACGAGTCGTAAAAAATGGGTTTTAAAGAACAAATCTTACAAATTTTGTAGCAATAAACAGGTTTACAAAGGTCATTGACCTCTCAAAGGTCATCAGAGGTCAGATACTAATTGTTCCCACATCTGATCATTATTTTCATTGCATGAAGACATATGACATAGACTTGGGTCATAGGAAAGTGAATTTTTTAAAACAACAGTTATGAATAGAGTATGCAAAGTTCTTTGACCTCTAAAGGTCACCAGAGGTCAAATATGAAATGCCTCAATATCTGAAAATTTTCTTCATGGCATGAAGAACCAACATGCGAAGTTTCATGCTTTTATCACAATTTGCACGATCCTTTAGCATATTGGGGCTATGCCGCACCACTAAAAATGAGAAATGCTCCTTAAATAAATTATTTGCCGCACCACTAAAAATGAGAAATGCTCCTTAAATAAATTATTTATTTTAATTTTTTTTAATAACTCCCAAAGCGATCAAAGTCTTTATTTGAGGTACAATGTTTTTGGTCTGTTTTAAGGCCAGTTCATACTTCATGCAAATGAATAGTGAATTTGACGTCATGAAACATTTCCTACGATATTCGCCGGAGTTGCAGTGCGCTCAAGTTGACCAAATTTGAAGCGTGAAAACTTCCTGCAAACACATCAGGGATTTGTGTTCACGCCTAGTATGCATCGGCCCTTAGAAAGAGCACATAGCTAATAGCAGGAAGATATGTACATGTAATATGCACATGTATTACATCATTGCAGGGCAAAACCACTGTCAGCAGGTCAAAAATCTTTAAGATAAAGTCATAGGTCTTTACTCAATCGTGGTGGGCAATCATGGGTTGTGGAGGTCCCAGGTTCAGATCCCACTTGTCAATTTTTTACTCAACCTTATGTTTAAAAAAGAATACAATGTTTGGTCAGACTTGTTTATGATTTCAATTTTTTTTTTTAGGATTGAAATGGGATCGTCTGTTGACAGCCTCATCTTTGACAAGAGTGGTAAAATCGTGACCGACTCGGGACATCCAAAGGAAAGCTACGATCACGTGATTCTGGCAGCAGGCCTCAATAGCACCAAAACTATCTTCAGGAACTCCCTCCAGCTTTTGAAGGATGCGAAGGACAGGTCCACTCGCGACCGTCTGAACAAAGTCCTCGAAAAGCACCTCGCAAAGTTGCCCCTGGCTCCGCCGTTCAAGATCCTCACGGTGTGGTTCGATAAACGTCTCCAGGGTGACTACAACCCCGCCATTGTTCAGACACCTAGCTTTCAACCAATCACTATCATCACCCAGTGTCACATGATCAACGAGGACTATGCACAATGGGCCAATAAGAGCGGTGGATCCGTGCTCGCGTTCCAAATGTTCGCGTGGGAACACGGCAAGATTCCCGATGACAAACTGTGGAACTTTGTCGCGCCGACCGTCAGGGAGATTTTCCCTGAGATTTTTCAGAGGGGCTTTAAAGTCCTCGCGTACCATGTCGACGGCGCGGATACCTATCCGTCCTACCAGAAGGGACTTGCGAAGTACCGGCCAACCGCGACTTTTCCAAAAGAATGTGGCTTCCCGAATCTTGCCTTTGCAGGAAACTGGCTCCATGCCAAATACCCTACCGCGCTAATAGAACGACCCATAGCAACCGGGCGTGAAGCGGCCAATCAGATTCTCTTATCTGATCGCGTGAGACAGTCCCCACTCATTGTTACGGACTCCCACGGACCTGGGTTTTTCCAATACATGTAGCAGAATTTGTTTACGATTTTTGTTTTGTGTTTTAAACAAAAGTTGTTATTTTAACCTTTTTACATTGAACATTTTTACAAACTGATCTATTTAGCCCTACGTTTGCAGTTTGCCAGTTTCATCTTTGTTCAGTTGTGATTTATTTGACAATCTTTTTAATATCTGTAGAATTTCTGAGGTTCCATGTATAGATATTTGAATATTTATAGCTTTCCTAAATTTCCTGGATATTCTTCAAACTTTAAAAAGTTATAAACTTAAAAAAAAATTATCCTTCTTAAAGGGAATATACATCATTTGCTTTTGCTGTAATTTTCAGAAACGGATGGATTTGGGGGTTGGTAATATATAGCAAATATTGTTTCGAAGACTTTTTTGACGTTTAGGGCTTGTAGGTGCTGTAAAAACCAAGAAAAACAATCATTTTCCTGTAGTCTGGTTCCCTGACTCCATTTAAGATGAAACAGAGCAATTTATAGACACTGGGGAATTGTAAGGTCAGGGAACCAGTCCAGCTGGCTTGTACCTGTTAGGTGTGTAATTGATTGCAAACAAATGCTGACTAACTAAATATGGTAAATTGTGGCCAGTATTTGAAAAAAAGCCAGTTTATTCCAACGCTGGTCGGCCAACCAGCATTGGAAATTGATACGAAAATACCACTTTTCTTGAAAATGACAGTATACCAGGTGCCATGATTTTACAGGATGCATGAGACTGTCATTCACTGTTCCAGCAAGGAATTTGAAAATAATTTGATAGTTTCATTTTTTGATGTTTGCAAATGTTGTATTTTCCCTTTAGGCCAAACAAAAAAAGTCTCTGGTTTCTGGTATGGAGCTTGCCCAAAAAGTGGTGCGGCGACGCGTTTTAAAAAAAATTTTACCTGATTTTTTTGCTTCATATGTCGGCTGATGACTGCAAATGGTGCTCGACTAAACTTAGTGCAAACATATGGGAGTCCAGAGAGGCCACATAAAGCTTATTCTCGATCATAACCCAATCTAAAAACACGTTAAAATTGTGCAGCAGCAGGATTCCAGTCAAACCAGTGAGTTTGGCGGTTTTGAGACATCATCTTTCATTGAAAAAAAAACTTTTTCATTTTGCCGACGCGCATGGCTACAGCGACGCGCACGCATACCAGAAACCGGAGATTTTTTTTTTTTGGCCTTAAAGAGTTACTAGTCATGTTTTCTTGAAGAAAAAAAAACGTCTATTCGCTCTTTTCACACTTCCGCCATGGGCATGCAGAGCCTCAATCTGGCAACTTTACACAAGAAATATAGCCGGTTCAGTGATTCCCGTGTCGGGGTTCAGAGCACTGAACCGGCTATTTTTATTGTGTAAAGTTGCCAGATGGAGGCTGTGCATGCCCAATGGCGGAGCGTGAAAAGAACGAATTGCAATCATAGAGCTATATTAAATTACTAGAGCGCTAACTCGATGTACAAAGTGATGCCTGATCGGTGCATCCATGTTTGTGCACAAACCTATGGGAAAACTCGAAATTTTGTACGGCTGTTGTATGGCTATTTGCAAATCTACGTTTGTATTGGATACCGGTGAGTCATCGAAGCCGATGCTCTAAAAACCAAAACGCACGATCAGCAAAATGAGCATTTCATTTTGCTCTACACAAACAGCCCGACGTGTGCGTGTCCCTCCACTGCAGATGCTTTTCGGCATGAAGTTTTTTTGAACCGTCATGACGTGCTTAGGTTGATTGCGTATCTTCTACTTGTGCGTTGCATTTAAAGTACACTTTTAAAATTCAATCCATCTATTTTGATCGTGTTCTACAAACACGCACATAAATTCAAAATGTTTGCAACCAGAGCGGCTTCAAAGCTTCTCCGCGCGCAAGAATGAAGAGTTAGCACTCTAGTAATTTAATAAAGCTCTATGATTGCAATTTAATCTTGCCCAAAGGGTTGAAAGTAAAGGGAACTAGGTACATTCTTTAAATTTAAGTTCATTTTCAAATTTTTGTAAATGCCATAGTAGATGCATCAAACTTGTAATTTTACATCTGGCCCTCCAGCAGCCAATTTCACGAATCTTTACGCAATGGCGCAAGTCCACATGCGCCACAATTTATTGCCCATTGGTTGTAGTGGTGTGGCATAGCCCGGTATGCTAAAGGAAGTTGTGCAAATTGTGATAAAAGCATGAAACTTCGCATGGTGGTTCTTCATGCCATGAAGAACATTTTCCGATATGAAGGCATTTCACATTTGACCTCTGGTGACCTTTCAGAGGTCAGTGAACTTTACATACTGTATTTATAACTTTTGTTCTTCAAACCTACGCTCATGACCCAAGTCTATGTTATGGATCTTCATACAGTGGAAATAATAATCAGATGTGGGAACAATTCATGTCTGACCTCTAGCGACCTATGCCGCACCACTATTGCTCAACATTTCACTTAAAGGGAATGTACATCTTTGGCTTTTGCTGTAATTTTCCGAAAATGAACTATTTGAGGGGTTTAGATCAAATATTGTTACACTGACATGTTTGAGGTTTTTTGTTCGCAAATGCTGGAAAAACCAAGAAAAACAAAATAGTTAAAGTAGTCTGGTTCCATGACTCCACTAAAGATGAACTTGATCAATTCATAGATGCCGGAAAATTGTAAAATAAGGGAACCAATCTAGCTGGCCTGCACCCGTTCATGAACATTTAGGAAACAAAATTTTGACTGAAAAAATGGTAAATTTGGAGCAGTAGTTGAAAAATAGTTGGGTTTTTCCAACGGTGGTCGACCGACCACCGCTGGAAATTTATACAAAAATACCACTTTTCTTGAAAATAACTTCACCAGGTGCCATAATTTTAAAGGATGCTTTAGACTGTCAATTACCAACATCCTAGGTATTTCGTAAACAATTGGTAGTTTTGTTTTCGATGTTTGCAAATGTTGTATATTCCCTTTAAGACAATTTCACAAAATTTCACTTAAGACAATTTCATGCTGTGTAAGTTTCAAATTATGGCACTTCTGTAATCATGTTGTCACCGACACCACGAACTGAACCACGTTATATTAATGCGGCAGCACTTCATGTACGCGCACTCTGAACATTTTCGTTTTCACGAACTGACACTGATCTTAATTTCATCAGTTAAAAAGGTTTTAATCAAATTTGTGTGTAAGCTCACAAGTATACGGATGGATTAAATTTGTGTCAAACCTTTCAAAGCATCTTTCTCCAAATTGTATTGCCGCAACATGTTTGCATGTCAGTTAATGATAACGGAAATTGTTCTTTTACGCTTTAGTGTCCGATGTGCGTAGTTTGTTGATAACACGTTTTTTTTACGAACTGACATCCACTAAGGCACGAGTGTGGTCGGTGTTGATTTGAGGTGGCGTAAGTTGTGGCAGAGAGTAGTAAAATGACCTATTTTACCAACAAATCGTGATGGTCGTGCAGCCTGTTATTGCAAACCAATATCAAAGTTTATGCAAGACACTCACAGCTTACTGTTTGAAGTAAATTAATTGCTATATAACTCTTGACAGTCGGACTAAACAGAAATAAAGAAACAAAGGGTACCTAAACCACTTTTCCAAGTGAATATCATTGGATTTCATAGTTATTTGAAATTAACAGGACCAGGACCCTATCTGGGACTATGCCAAGGCGACTTTACCCCGACCCTGCCCCCGGCATCCAGGCCCCGGCCCAGCCCCGGGATCCAGGACCCGGCCCAGCCCCCGAAATCCAGGCCCCGGCCCAGCCCCCGAAATCCAGGCCCCGGCCCAGCCCCCGAAATCCAGGCCCCGGCCCAGCCCCGGGATCCAGGCCCCGGCCCAGCCCCCGAAATCCAGGCCCCGGCCCAGCCCCGGGATCCAGGCCCCGGCCCAGCCCCCGAAATCCAGGCCCCGGCCCAACCCCGGGATCCAGGCCCCCGGCCCAGCCCCCGAAATCCAGGCCCCGGCCCAGCCCCGGGATCCAGGCCCCGGCCCAGCCCCCGAAATCCAGGCCCCGGCCCAGCCCCGGGATCCAGGCCCCGGCCCAGCCCCCGAAATCCAGGCCCCGGCCCAGCCCCCGAAATCCAGGCCCCGGCCCAGCCCCCGAAATCCAGGCCCCGGCCCAGCCCCCGAAATCCAGGCCCCGGCCCAGCCCCGGGATCCAGGCCCCGGCCCAGCCCCCGAAATCCAGGCCCCGGCCCAGCCCCGGGATCCAGGCCCCCGGCCCAGCCCCCGAAATCCAGGCCCCGGCCCAGCCCCGGGATCCAGGCCCCGGCCCAGCCCCCGAAATCCAGGCCCCGGCCCAGCCCCGGGATCCAGGCCCCGGCCCAGCCCCCGAAATCCAGGCCCCGGCCCAGCCCCCGAAATCCAGGCCCCGGCCCAGCCCCCGAAATCCAGGCCCCGGCCCAGCCCCCGAAATCCAGGCCCCGGCCCAGCCCCGGGATCCAGGCCCCGGCCCAGCCCCCGAAATCCAGGCCCCGGCCCAGCCCCGGGATCCAGGCCCCGGCCCAGCCCCCGAAATCCAGGCCCCGGCCCAGCCCCCGAAATCCAGGCCCCGGCCCAGCCCCGGGATCCAGGCCCCGGCCCAGCCCCCGAAATCCAGGCCCCGGCCCAGCCCCCGAAATCCAGGCCCCGGCCCAGCCCCGGGATCCAGGCCCCGGCCCAGCCCCCGAAATCCAGGCCCCGGCCCAGCCCCGGGATCCAGGCCCCGGCCCAGCCCCCGAAATCCAGGCCCCGGCCCAGCCCCCGAAATCCAGGCCCCGGCCCAGCCCCGGGATCCAGGCCCCGGCCCAGCCCCCGAAATCCAGGCCCCGGCCCAGCCCCCGAAATCCAGGCCCCGGCCCAGCCCCCGAAATCCAGGCCCCGGCCCAGCCCCCGAAATCCAGGCCCCGGCCCAGCCCCGGGATCCAGGCCCCGGCCCAGCCCCCGAAATCCAGCCCCCGAAATCCAGGCCCCGGCCCAGCCCCGGGATCCAGGCCCCGGCCCAGCCCCCGAAATCCAGCCCCCGAAATCCAGGCCCCGGCCCAGCCCCGGGATCCAGGCCCCGGCCCAGCCCCCGAAATCCAGGCCCCGGCCCAGCCCCCGAAATCCAGGCCCCGGCCCAGCCCCCGAAATCCAGGCCCCGGCCCAGCCCCCGAAATCCAGGCCCCGGCCCAGCCCCGGGATCCAGGCCCCGGCCCAGCCCCCGAAATCCAGGCCCCGGCCCAGCCCCCGAAATCCAGGCCCCGGCCCAGCCCCCGAAATCCAGGCCCCGGCCCAGCCCCCGAAATCCAGGCCCCGGCCCAGCCCCGGGATCCAGGCCCCGGCCCAGCCCCCTGAAATCCAGGCCCCGGCCCAGCCCCCGAAATCCAGGCCCCGGCCCAGCCCCGGGATCCAGGCCCCGGCCCAGCCCCGGGATCCAGGCCCCGGCCCAGCCCCTGAAATCCAGGCCCCGGCCCAGCCCCCTGAAATCCAGGCCCCGGCCCAGCCCCCGAAATCCAGGCCCCGGCCCAGCCCCGGGATCCAGGCCCCGGCCCAGCCCCGGGATCCAGGCCCCGGCCCAGCCCCCGAAATCCAGGCCCCGGCCCAGCCCCCGAAATCCAGGCCCCGGCCCAGCCCCAGGATCCAGGCCCCGGCCCAGCCCCGGGATCCAGGCCCCGGCCCAGCCCCCGAAATCCAGGCCCCAGCCCAGCCCCCGAAATCCAGGCCCCGGCCCAGCCCCAGGATCCAGGCCCCGGCCCAGCCCCCGAAATCCAGGCCCCGGCCCAGCCCCCGAAATCCAGGCCCCGGCCCAGCCCCGGGATCCAGGCCCCGGCCCAGCCCCCGAAATCCAGGCCCCGGCCCAGCCCCGGGATCCAGGCCCCGGCCCAGCGCCCGGCCCAGCCCCTGAAATCCAGGCCCCGGCCCAGCCCCGGGATCCAGGCCCCGGCCCAGCCCCGGGATCCAGGCCCCGGCCCAGCCCCTGAAATCCAGGCCCCGGCCCAGCCCCCTGAAATCCAGGCCCCGGCCCAGCCCCCGAAATCCAGGCCCCGGCCCAGCCCCGGGATCCAGGCCCCGGCCCAGCCCCGGGATCCAGGCCCCGGCCCAGCCCCCGAAATCCAGGCCCCGGCCCAGCCCCCGAAATCCAGGCCCCGGCCCAGCCCCAGGATCCAGGCCCCGGCCCAGCCCCGGGATCCAGGCCCCGGCCCAGCCCCCGAAATCCAGGCCCCAGCCCAGCCCCCGAAATCCAGGCCCCGGCCCAGCCCCAGGATCCAGGCCCCGGCCCAGCCCCCGAAATCCAGGCCCCGGCCCAGCCCCCGAAATCCAGGCCCCGGCCCAGCCCCGGGATCCAGGCCCCGGCCCAGCCCCCGAAATCCAGGCCCCGGCCCAGCCCCGGGATCCAGGCCCCGGCCCAGCGCCCGGCCCAGCCCCTGAAATCCAGGCCCCGGCCCAGCCCCGGGATCCAGGCCCCGGCCCAGCCCCCTGAAATCCAGGCCCCGGCCCAGCCCCGAAATCCAGGCCCCGGCCCAGCCCCCGAAATCCAGGCCCCGGCCCAGCCCCCGAAATCCAGGCCCCGGCCCAGCCCCCGAAATCCAGGCCCCGGCCCAGCCCCCGAAATCCAGGCCCCGGCCCAGCCCCGGGATCCAGGCCCCGGCCCAGCCCCCGAAATCCAGGCCCCGGCCCAGCCCCGGGATCCAGGCCCCGGCCCAGCCCCCGAAATCCAGGCCCCGGCCCAGCCCCCGAAATCCAGGCCCCGGCCCAGCCCCGGGATCCAGGCCCCGGCCCAGCCCCCGGGATCCAGGCCCCGGCCCAGCCCCCGAAATCCAGGCCCCGGCCCAGGCCTCCGGCACAGCCAGCCAGCGTGCCCGGCCCAGTACATTGAGAAATGATGAGAAATGATGAGAAATGATGAGAAATGATGAGAAATGATGAGAAATGATGAGAAATGATGAGAAATGATGAGAAATGATGAGAAATGATGAGAAATGATGAGAAATGATGAGAAATGATGAGAAATGATGAGAAATGATGAGAAATGATGAGAAATGATGAGAAATGATGAGAAATGATGAGAAATGATGAGAAATGATGAGAAATGATGAGAAATGATGAGAAATGATGAGAAATGATGAGAAATGATGAGAAATGATGAGAAATGATGAGAAATGATGAGAAATGATGAGAAATGATGAGAAATGATGAGAAATGTGAACAAGTAAGGCCAATTTATCTATTATTTATTATTTACATTTGTCCCTTTGGCTTAATCAGGGAGCATAAACAAAGACAAATTATTGATAGGCAAACTAGGCATTCCTCTTTTTTCCGGCATGTTTGTGCACTTTATTTGTACAATTGCTCATCTACTGGAAAGTGTTCGGCACAAAGTTACGACACACATACAAGGCCAAACCATGACAACAACAATAGTAACTTATTTTCATGTGGAAAGTTATTAACTACAAACATGCAAGTTTTATGACATACATTTGAACTACTGTTCATCAAATAATCATGAGACGTAATTCAATAGACGGATCCACTAATGCCCACCCTGTGATGTTTTGACCAATCACAGCCATGATTAATTTCGGACATCAGTGCACAAAATGTCATGTGAAGTCTTGACTTGAATATTAAGATGTGCGCATATGGACCATATGTGACTGTTGCCCACATGTGCAGTGGGCGTGGCTAATAATGGATCAGTATAATGGATCGGTCTATTCCTAGTACAGAATCACTCAGAATTACTTAGAAGTGGCTCATTCCATTAAATTTGGGGTCCAAAAGTGTGATTTTGTTGGTGTCTGTGTTACACTGACCAGTGTTATTTGCCATGCAAGTATCATTGTTGGACTTTCTGGAGGTATGCCAAATCCAATGTTAATAGGGGTACTATACCTATCCCAACAGATTTCAACAAAACCTGCTGTTGGGCTTTGATGGGTTGAGTTCGGTTAAGTCTTATATGAGGGACACACAATAGTTGGACCCCAAATTATTGGATTGACCCAAATAATACACAACTCCTCCATGTTTTAAGAATATTGCAAGTCTAGACATCACATTATAAGCACATTTGTTGGCTGCAGATATTTCCCCACCCTTAATATTCAAATTGCCTCATTTAAATATGCACATAATTACAACCACGCATATATTGGAAAGGCCACATTAATGTCTTTTTTTTAAAACACTGCTTAATCATGTTTTCCAAGCAAAGATAACATAAACAGGTGAAATAGTTCCACAAAAAAATGTGAAACATTCATTCTTTTGGCACACTCAAATCACATGATATTACTATCAAATTTTAGCTAGATTCTTCAAAGATTTCAAGAAAAAATATCAGATCTTTCATTAAAAAAATCCACTTTCTGCAACTTTTCTGAAATATTTTATATTATACCAAAGAACCACTGAATATCGTTTTATTTTATGTGCAGAATACATCTTTCTTAATACAACTCTTAAATTAACACTACTTTGGGGCATCTCAGTAAAACTACTAAGGGAATAAATATGGGCAGATAAATCACGAACCAGGCCCAAGCCGGTTTTAAACGCACTTGTTTAATACCGGCCAAGTACGTATGTATTCCCATTCATAAATACCTTTCAGTCAAAAAGTCAAAACAAGTCAAAAATTCACATTTTCCCAACGATTTTGTTCAACAATTTTACTTCATGTTTTGTGAGACACCGCTCTGGCCATGTCTATGGTATGTGCCTCACACACATTGTGCTAAAAAATCTCCTTGGCGTGCGCGTGGCATGTACCGTGGCATATGTACTGCGCTATGTGGCATGTACTGCGCTGTGGCGCAGAACACAGCGGTGCAAGGAATTAAGCGTTTAAAACCAGCCAGTATTTTATCAATGGTTTAAAACCAGCCACGTGATGCGCTCTTGACCAATAGAAATGGATAAACTGTCTTAGGTATTTATGAATATTATATTTTAACCATAACACTGAGATAACACTGAGGGTCATAACACTGAGATAATCACATAACAAAGTTACCGTAGATGCTGGATTATTACCGAAGATCTGATTTACAGCTGCTGCTTTACAAAAATATCTCAACTGGAGCTTTTAATATCAGTTATTTTATGTCATACAGAAAACAAATCATCACTTTAATATTTTGGATTTTTTTTATTTACATTGCTGGACAAAATGTTGGTAGAGGGATGGATATCACATACACGATATTGATTTGAAGGGAATAAATTACAAACGATTGCCTCTTAGTTTTCATTTTTAGGACAATTTCAATGTGCAGCAGCTGTTTGGGGAGTGGCCACCGATTTTCAGGGCCCCCACTTTTATGACATAATTAAGCAAAACATCAATTTGGCTAAATTACTAAGAATAAATTGTATACTCTTTTTTACAGCAAGGTCTTTTAAAACCCTACCTAATGGCTGTTAGGGTTTGGTGGGGTTTTTTTTACACGCACCCCTCCAAAAAGGTTTTTTTTGGATGTTCCGATATCAATATTTAAATAACTTTGGCTGTTTACATTAATTTTACAGTTTAACCTACTTCAAGTTAATTTTTAATTATTTCTTTATAATTAAAATTATTTCTCTGCGGTGGCATATTGTTTTGGTGGAGAAAAGATATTTTAAAGGTGGTTCACATTCAACGTATTTTACATTTCTAGTTAATAAAATCTGATAAGCATCAAATGCATTTTTCCTGCCTATACAATGTAGCTGAAATTTCTCTTAAACTTCCATTTTTTCGGTAATATAATAAAAATCGGTAATGGTCACATACATGTATTTTAAAAGGTGGATTAAATGACTTATATAAAATACGTCACGTGTAGTTGCTGTAAATTAGTTTTCCAATATCTCAGCAGTTATTAATAACTTTTCAAGAATAAATAAGCACAAAAACATTGTCACGTTATTTAAAGTTTTCTTAGGGAAATGGTAAAAAAGCTACTGAACACATACTGTTAACACCACTATTTGCTAATGACCTAAAAAAAATCTTAAATTTTGAGGCGCACAACCACAAAATCTTAACGTTTTTGTTTCCAAGTATCATAACTGTCCAAAAAACCAACTAAACAGCGCCCTCCGCAGTCAAGAAGTGGGTTAATACATCTCAAGTCATAATACATACATGTACATAATAAAAACACTACGTTATCTGCTTCAGTTTACCCGATTTCGTTCCGAACCCTTCTGTTTTTTTTAATACACGACCTATCAGTACCGTGTTGGTCACAGTTTGATAAGTTAGTTTAAGAGAACAGGAAAAAACTTCATAAAAATTGGAAAGGACCGATTTGTCACACAGGCCTATCTGCAAAACATGCACATACAATAGCAGCGATAATTTATGAATAGGACTGAACTTTTGTGGCAAAAAACAAAAATCAGCTACAATTTCTGACAATTTCGTACTATTTTTGTGTGCGCGTACATCAATATGAAATTGACCTATCTCGGTAGAATCGCTTTGGAATCACATCAACACAGCTTGTGAAATATTGTCCAATTACTTGATATACAAATGGACACGGAACGCGCAAAATCTGAGACAAACCAAACTTGGTGTACAAAATTTCCATAGGGTTGTCTAAGGGGCGTGGCTAACTCACAAACGGCGATAGGTCATTTGTGTGGTTCTTTCTTGATCAATATCATGGGCACCATTTTGGCCCTTCACTGCTTAACATGAAGTAGGGATCTCCGTGAATTATGGTGTAGAATCTCTAGATTAGATCTTTCCCTGAAATAGCAATCGAGCAGTGAACATTCTGAATTTCAGTTTTCTCTTCTTTTCTTCAAACGTTCTGACAGACTCCCCAAAACACCTGATCATTTATCGTCAACACTTTTGAAATTGTTGTTTTTTCTTTTCCAAAAAACACTTTTACCAAGTTCTTGTGCAGTTGCGTTTAAGACCAGTTAACGTCGGAGGATACATGTATGTATGTTCATAGGAATGAGTGACATGTTAAATTGTCAAGCTTTCCACCCCGAAACTCCAGCGGTGGACGGGTATACGCGTCAGTGGTTCCCATTGTTTTTGTACACACCCTTGTTTGAACTTGAACTTGGCCGCTATACATGGCATGTCCTCATAGCAAATATTGCTCCGTGGCGTGTTGCCAAAATATGAAGTAATGACGAGAAGTATCTAACAATATTGTACTACTGACTCTAAAGAGTCAGAATATGTGTTGTATTTGACTTCATTTTAAAAGGTGGCCGATATATTTTGGCTCATTCAAAAAAGTGCTTTTCAACCAAAAATAGTCAAAGAGTAAATTGTTTGGCAAAGTCTTCAGAATTGCCTTGTCAATCAATCACTTGATCAATAAATTAATACACAATTCTATATCGATGACCACTGGCATTTTGTCTACAGACAGTGGATCCAATCAATCAATATATCTTACCAGGTTAATCAATATTAAACTTGAAAAATCGATCAATCAATATTACACTCTTTCCTGGAATGAAATTTGGAATAACTCGGCTTTCCTCAATTTCTGTCTTCTCAATAAATTACTAAATTAATCAATCAGTTGTTTGAAATTCCAATCAATAAATCATTAATGAATATATAGAGTTGCACAATTAATATATTTCTGATGAATACAGTTTATATAGATTTCTGGGATTTTTAGATAGACGCCCATAATTTGTATAATTTCTGGAAATACATTATTTACAGTTTAGAAGATAAATATATATGTTTTTCTACTTTAGTACAGCATACATTGTTCACTGATAATAGACTTTCATGTAAATATATTTACTATTTTAGCTACACAGAGCACTTAGATATTTTTTAATTAGAGAATTTCTATTATTTACAATTTTTATTTCACGAATTTGAGCATTGCTTATCTCAATAAAAAATAAGTTGACAAGAAAAAGAATAAAATCTCTAAAAAATAAAAAACAAAGGCTTTTTTGGATGTCCAGAAAAGCCAAAAAAAAACAACTAATACCCTATATTTCCTTACTAAACAACAATTGCACATCTAGTAGTTCTAAATACTACTTTGAAAAAGCTGCAGATTTACCCAATATCTTTTTTTGAAATCTACATCGTAAAAAGGAACTGTTTTGTCCAGATATATATTTTTTCATTGAAAATTGTCCACAGTTTGTCGTGGTGTATAACACATCTTCTATTGGAGGGATTAGCTTTGTATTTGTAAGGATGTGACATTTACTCGTGTAAACGAAAACATTCTAAATCCGTTTACAAATGTCCCCAAACGTTTGAACGAAACCCGAATTATAAAACAAAGGAGCTAAGTTCACACGATCTTTCATGTCTTCTTTTGAGTTAAACATACAGAGCACAAATAATTAAAAATGTTTTCAAACCTTCGGTATTTAACTTGCAAACAGTTGAAACATCGCAGTACTTTATTACATACGGGTTACATGTAATAGTGGTGCGGCATAGCCCCAATATGCCAAAGGATTGTGCAATTTGTCATAAAAAGCATGAAACTTTGTAAGTTGATTCTTCATGCCATTAAGAAAATTTTCAGATATAGAGGCATTTCATATTTGACCTCTGGTGACCTCAATGAATTTACATACTCTACTCACAACTTTTGTTCTTCAAACCTTAACTCTCCTATGACCCAAGTCTATGTCATACGTCTTCATACAATGAAAATAATGATCAGATGTGGGCACAATTCATATCAGACCTCTGGTGACCTCTGAGAGCTCTGGTGACCTCTGACCTCGTCTCTCTTTGTTTTATTGGCAGACACAATATGATGAGATTGGAATAGAAATCTGACGGTCTGTTTTGTAATGGAAAATGTACGTGTCAAGCAATATTCACTCGTTTACTTATTACACTCTGTTGTATCCAGATCGACTTGGATAACCACGTTTTTAACCTTTTTATCAAGCCAAATTGTCACTGTTATAGAGTCATGCTTGGCCGATGTGCCTCTTGTATTCTGTTGCGCCTGCGTCTGCCCTTATAAAAAGGAAAATTCCGATCAGAGGTCATGCAAAAAAATTCTTTGGGGTCCGACCTCATGACATGCTGTAGAATAATTAAAATACACTCCTTTTGCACTAATTAGACTTCGGACATGGAAAAGTGGCATTTGGAAGATGAAACATGATAAATAAAGGCAATCAGAGTATACAAAGTTCATTGACCCGCAAAGGTCATCAGAGGTCAAATCTGAAATGTCTACATATCTGAAAATTCATATCATGGCAAAAATACTCAAAATTTCGATATTGGTTAAAAAAAAATTGGTGTTTTGAATAATTAATCATCCTGTTATCTATAAATAGGATACGCAATGTTCATTGACCCCTGACGACCATCAGAGGTCACATGATATCTACGAGGGTGGAATGCTAAGATCATTTTACAAGTTTAAGCAAAAGTCACTTTTTTCTTTCGCTGACTATGCATATCACCAATTTTTTCCCCTAAATTTAAAGCGAATAGAGACAATTTGCAAGAATACACGCACCACACCTCATTTTTGCGCTCACACAATTTGTGTCAAAATTTGTAATTCGCTTCTTGAAAGACTTTCTCGCTTTTGTTCATCCTGTAATATATTTCTGCATAATTTCAGGTCACGTTTATGGTGGCAAATGTAAAAATAAGAATACCGTGCATTGAATAACGGTGGGTTTATATTTTGAGTTGTGTAACTTGTTCAATTGTTGAGATGAAACTACATAGATTTAACAGTGACAGATTTCCACTGGTTTAAATTCTGTGAATCTTTTAAACTCATGAGATGAATATAGTAAACTGTGTAATATAGCCACTGTTTTATAGGTCCAGGGGCTATTTTTAAGAAGCTACGCTCTTTTTGTTTCTTTGCAGTTTGTGTACAAAACCGTTTAATTCAGGAATGTTACATCATCACGGAACTGGTTTCTAGGAAATTTGTCACAGGGACTGACATTAAAACCTTGCTAACACAATAAATTTCTCAGATCTTAAAACTAACTAAGGTTTTTTTTGCTACAACAATCCTTCAAGCATGCTCTTGGATGATTTAGCTGGTTTTTTTTTTTTCAGTCATCCGCCGTAAAGATTTCATCGGAGAGCGTGTGCCATCTTTCGAACCTCCTGTCCGTGTGCTTGAGGGTCTCAAACCAATGGCGCAGGCGTTCGCCTTTGGTATTGATGCCGAGCTGAATGCCCCCTGGAATGAGAACAGTAAGATTCAATGAGAGATTGACTCACTGGGATGAGAAGGGCACGATGTAATAAGAGACGCGTAACATACTAAATCTGCTTACCTATGTAGTCATTGTGCTTGGCGAGATCTTTGTCCCAGACAGCTATTTCCAGTGTCTTCTTAGCCAGATCATTGTGGGCGACGTCATAATGAAACTCCTAAAGAAGAAATAAAAAAAAATAATAATAATAATAATAATAATATTTACTTTCCCATAGACTTGTGCACAAACCTAAACTGTCACCTAACCCAAGTTTACCTTATGTTTTTTCCACGAAATTTAGTATTTATACTAATTGGACCATGAGGAATCGATCTAGATGGTTAGCGACAGCAAAATTCCTTGTCCTAAGGGTCGTTTTCATAAAAGGGCGACAGTTATTTTGTCGCCTCAATAAGGTGTATCGCCCTATTGTGGACGGAGTTCGCAAAACCTGTCGCCCTATTACAGTAATAGTAGTAATAATAATAATAAAACAGGAATCAGAGTTGAGGTCTTATTAACTGCATGCACAAGTCTTTCCTAAACGGTGACAAAGAAAGAGATATGACAGACACTGCAATGTTCATACTGCTGTGCTGCAGGAACTATCGTAAAACACGGTTCCTGCATCTTTAGGATAATAAAATTCAATCACTCTTCCACGACTTTTCCATGACCATATTATGAAAACTCAAGCCTAGTTCATCGAAATACTGACAGAGATGCCAACTTTACAGACTACAAAATAGTAATGATTCTTCCTGCAAAGAGTAATGCTAATGTAAATACATAGGACAACAGTCAAGTTGAAGAGTAACCGCAGTACTTTCAGAGTAACCACAATGTTGGCGTATAGTAACAGCTGGATTTTCAACAGTAGTAACATGCCTCAAAATCCTAATAATTACTCCAAAAGAGTAATGGTTGGCATCTCTGTACTGATCAGAATTGTTGAACTCGGTCTGTTAAAAGTGCTTTAACAGAAACAGAAAAACATCAAAACAAAGCAATAATGTCTTTCGAAAACGATATGCTTATATTGGCGAAACTTGTCGCATTTTGTCAGGTATAAAAAGCAGATATCCAATGCTAACTTAAGACTATACAAAGTTTAAAATTGAAAATAAATTGACTTTTCCGTACTTTTTGTCATTTTTACCAATTTTCAAGACTTTTCCAGGCCTGGAAAATGAAAATAAAATTCCATGATTTTCCAGGCATTTTTTAAAGCAGCCTGGAACCCTGTGTAAATGAATTCAGATGAAAGTTAGTCATGCAGACTAATGCATGGAGACAATGCCTACCTCATTGAACTCAGGATTCAACGTCCTCTTCTTGCAAGCAGTCTTGTGTTTCGTCCTCTTGCCTGCATCTGGTTTCAGATACCTGTTGAGATGCGCAAGGGAATCCATCATTATAAAAAAGATTGTGAGATTGATCACTATGAACAGCGCCACCTTGTGTCTGATCATGTTCAGTGCCAAACGATAAATGTTGAGAAAAGTAGCCCAATAGTCAAATAGATTGAAATTCAAAAAGTCTGTCACAAGCCAATATGGCCCAGCGTTCATCTCCGATTTCAATGGTAAGAAACGACAGAGAATATTTCTATTCCCCCTGGATGGGATGCCAGTCCATCACATATTACTCCTGGGTGAAAAGAGGCAAGTGGGGTGAAGTGGCTTGCCCAAGGACACAACGTATAGCCAGCAGCTCACCCTCGTCCCCAGGGGTTACTTCAATTTCAACCTTGTTTCCAATAGAAACCCCTGGATGGGTAATGTTCTTCCTGTATTCTGATTGGATACAGCAATAGCAAAGTAATATATTTATATCATGTACTTGGTGTTTATATTTCCAACGTGTAGGACGCATTTTAACGTTCGCTGTGAATTATTACGTAGGTTCCAACTCATAAACAATCCTCCTTTTTCCGTTTTGCTTATTTATATGTACATGTAACATGATAATGCATATTGGTTGGATAAGATTGTAACATGTTAACTTTGAAAAAAAAATCGGAACTTATGCGGCGAAGAATTTTTTTTTTTTACCCCAAACACCACATACAAAAACAAATGCTGATTACAGCACAACCAGGCATTAGACTATTCCTAATTTGCATACACATTTGAATATGCAAATGATCCAATACCAGGGTGCCAGCGGCTGGATTCAAACCCCTGACCCTCTGATTACGAGTCATGAACCCAAACCACTAGTCTGTAACAGCTGCATCAGGTAAAACTACAGGGCAAATTTACACAAGCAGTTGATTTCTTGTGCAACATTTAAACACATATGTCTCAAATCGACTTTGTCCTGGTTGGTGTTACGCTATTGGTAACCACTGATGCAATCATCTAAGGCTAGCTGGCTCCAAATAATCAATTAAAATAGCGTAATTAGTCAAACTATGGTTATTCGTTACTCGATTGAAATTGCTTAACAGTTTTTGTCTGAGACTTGTACTCACACTTTGACATAGGGATCGGAGTAACCGTTAGCATCCATGGCCGCTAAGCCAGCACAGCGCAGGATACCGACGGCGAGCTGCTGGCTCCCCTTCAGATACTTGAGCGATACCAGGATCTTGCCTCGCTCTCCCATCAACTCATCGTCTTTCTCAAGCTGGGGAAAAAAAATAAGAGTATTTATGAAACAGTGTGTCAAAAGTGAATAACACCAATTTCAGATGGTTCCAGAGTCACGCTGAACCTATTAGCATAAGAGGTGTCTCATTTGTCCGCAACAGATTTTGGTTTTAGACAGGAAATGTTTATTTAGCAATTTTACCAGGATTGATTATTAACTGCACTGTTGTGGTACTCGTACTCGTTAAAAGGTACTCATACTCACAAGAAAAATTACTTGTACTTGTACTCGTACTCAGACTCGCACTCATGACAAAGTACAGATTCGTACTCGTGTACATTTTTTCATAGGTGTACTCATGAAAATGTACTCGTACTCGCAAGAAAAAACTCCCCGTGCTCGTACTCGGACGTATGACAAAGTACTCATAATCATACTTGCACTCATACTCTTGCAAGAATTTACAAAGAATTACTCTCGCAAGAATTACAATAAATATTTTAGAGCTACATGCAGGAAGAGAACTGGTTTTCTACTGTTTGGCATGTGCATTTAAGATTCAACAAATTTCACTTTAGGATAAACACTACAGATAAATACACACTTACATATCATTCTGTCGAAAAGTTGCAAGATGTGAGTTTCGCTGAAAGTTCCCACGAAAAAAAAAAAAGAAAAAAAAAATTTAACTTAGAAGCTGCCTGATCATGTTAAACAAGCTTATGTTAGACTTACCGGCAGTTGTTTCTCCAGGTAGACGCTCATATTCTTGGTCGTGTGGGGCGTCAGTTTCCGAAGTGGTAGGCGGTATTCGCCGATGAAGTCATTATGACCAAACTTATCCTCATCCAGTACAGAGAGTCTAGAGTCGGAATAAAAAAAGCATTGATGTCAGAAGGGAAAGATCTTAGACCAGTCTAGCAGTCAAAATAAACCAAGTGACTATTTCACACCGTTGAATACTCCCTGCCTTCATAAAGCAGGATTCATTGACTGGCTGTGACTGTTATGAAACCTATTTATACATGTACTATGCTTTGCTGGTAGGAGATTGATAAGCCAGCTATAGTATAAGTCAGCTATAAGTGCCTACCAGTCACATGCTTTTGTCTGTTGATGGAATCTGACTGTGGTCACAATGCCTATTGAAATATGATCTGACTGTTGGTGACTAGCCTGTGTAAAAGGCATGGTAGGGGAACATGATTGAATTTTTGACTGTCAAAAGGAGTGTTAAATTAATATCCTAAATGTAAAATTTTGAAGCCTCTTCTTAAAAAAAGCTCTTGAACATAATTTACGTCATAGGATCGCAAATCTCAAAGTTCTTCATACTAAACTCCATTTGCAATGCTTTACAACCTTGCAAATGAACGTCAAGTTTTACTTACTTTATTGTCCACATTACAAGACAAAATGTCATACAACAATAACTCGGTATCACAATAATTATTCGAAAAGAGTAAATGCGGGTGGGGGTCCCCAAAAAGCACTGCTTGTTAAGTAGAGATCCCCACTTACAACATGTACATGCATAACAAGGTTAAATAATTAAACCATTGTAATGAGAAATATAAAGGCAACATACCTGTACATGTACACAAACACACACACACAACAAATTTGTATTACAAATTATCCAATAAAAAAGGGAAACTAATTGGGTTCACTTTCCACTCTTTTTACTGCTGAATAAACTTAATTGCCATAATTAGGTGGAATTAAGACAATGTGCAGATGACGTCAAACAAATATATATATCGGCTTGACCACTAACTTTGGATAATTCCCTGAAACCGTGCTGCATGTGTATTCTATCACGATTTTGTAAAAACTGTGATTTTAGGACAGAAGTAATAAAGGCAGTAACTTGAGCTTGCTACTTCAAAAGTCGACGCACAATTTCTCTACTTACCTGAGTGTTTTCTTGATCAAATCATCGTCGGTGATTCCGTAGTACGTCAGCGTCTCGTTGAACTTGGGGTCCAGAGTCTTGTGGACTGTCTTGGTGCGAAGCTTGGTGGACTGGCAAGTTTGGAAAAAAAATGGCAATTTAGTTCATACTTTTGGTCTTTGATAAACAAGAAGAGATTAAGTAAACCAAATTGGAATGACACGTTAAAGAGCACGTTCCACATATTATGGAAAATTACAGGCTGCAGATTCAGTTTGGGTACATTTCTCTGTAATGTTTACTCCAAAATCTGGAACGAAACTGAGGTTTCAACGCCAATGGCCAATGAAATCAGCCGATGGGTTCATGAATATGAATGAGGTCATTTTAACCAATGAGCTTGGTCGCTCTCGGCAGGAAAAGTAGCTTCACATACATTTATTTATTTCTTTACCCAGGGTATGCCCAACCAGTTTAAAAACTGGTTTCCATGCACTGGGGCCCTGCACACATTACAAATTAGATAATGTTAAGTCAAGTTAAACTCATAAGGAAAAGTACATTGGTGAAACATACGACGAACAGTAATACGTACAAATACAAGTACTTCAGAAATATTACAGAAATAAAGCTATGTGTACAACACAAGTTCATTTTAAACATTCAAGTATAAGGCATAAATTACTGATCACGGGATGGGCGAACCCGGAAAAAACCTGTGGAAGTTAAAAACATGGGGAAATTCCCGATCCGGATCCAAATACCATAGCAACTAAGTATAAATAACTCCGTAGATGAAGGGGTTACTGACCAATGACATCAGCCGATTAGCTCATGAATATGCATGAGGTACAATTTTAACCAATTACCTTAGTGGCTCCGGGCAGTAGGTGGAGCTTGACGTAGGGGTCCGACAGACCGTTGAAATCCATGGCTTTCAGGCCTGAGGCCTTGTGGATGATCAATAACAAGCGTTATTGACCAATGAAATCAGCCAATTGGATCGTGAATATACATGAGGTGTCATTTTAACCAATTACCTTAGTGGCTCCGGGCAGTAGGTGGAGCTTGACGTAGGGGTCTGACAGACCGTTGGAATCCATGGCTTTCAGGCCCGATGCCTTGTGGATGGTGCAGTGAAGTGCGTTGTTGACGCCGTCGTACAGTACTGAAAACTCCAACGTTCCCAAAGAACCTTTAGGGTGAAAAAAGCTCACAATTTAAAGGCTTTGGTAAAACTTGTTCAACTGTACAGGTATGACAACACGTCAGTCCATTGATTATTGCGTTCGTCGTGAACATTCCAGAACACGTTTTAGCCCAGCCTGTATTTGCTTGAGTGCTTTTTGGGGAGTGTTGTGGTCCAATCGGGAATGTGGTGGCGTGTTCTCGGGCAAGACACTTTACTACAATTGCCTCTCTCCAACCAGGGGCCAATTTCATAGAGCTGCTTAAGCACAAAATTTGCTTAAGCACAAAAATGTCTTGCTTAATAAAATCAGGTTACCGGCCGAAACTCCATGCGATTGTTATGCTAAGTAAACAACAGCTAAATACCAGTCACAAGCAATGTACATCACATGGAGTTTTGGCCGGTAACCTAATTTTACTAAGCAATGTTTTTTCGTGCTTAAGCAAATTTTCTGCTTAAGCAGCTCTATGAAATTGGACCCAGGAGTATTACTGGGTACCTGTGAGAGTAGAGATCAGATTGAGCTGATCTTGGGCCACTGCCAAAAAAAAAGTGTCACATGGCCTGATGAACAGGGGTAATAATTGTGAAGCGTTCTGAGACCTTTGGTATCAAGCACTATTTAAGCGCCACATTATATTACTATTATTTAGAATATTGGGGTAAAATTGTCTATCACATTTCACAAGTCTTATCGTATTTTGCAGGTCTGATGTCTTCCTACGAAGTTGAAAGACAAGTTTGTAGACGAGTTTCTAGTTTTATAGTTAATAGTTAACAGCTACCAATGACATCAACAAATATCAAATCTGTCAACTTACCTAAAGTATCACAAATAGGATATTTAGAATGCTCAAAAGAAATGGTGCAATTAGCAAAAACTTGACTTGGTCAGAGAAAACAAGACACAGAGATGAAACAATTAAAAAGTCAGTGTAATACCCCAGCATTTGTATTTCCAAATTGACAAGACATGAGCAGCCTAACAAATACTACATGTATGCAGTTGAAATGCTATAGGAAATGTGTGGTGTGTTTTTTTAATTGATGGTTCAAGTAGTCTTCTGCTGGTAAAATCTTGCTCTTCAATATTTACAACTTTGGTTTGCTATTCTCCGACCAAGTCACAAGTATGAAAGCATGCAGTATTAAATGTGGCCAAATACAGATAAAGCAAAGTGAAAAAGAAAAGGCTTGATGAAAATGACGGCAAAACCTATGGCAAAAAATTGACAGCAAAAACTATGGCAAAATCCATGGCAATAACTATGGCCAAGCTTTGGCCACAACTATGGCCACAACTATGGCCAAATGTATGGCCAAATCAGTTGCCAAATCTACAGCAAAATGTATGGCAAAAGCTATGGCAAAAACTGGCAAAAAGGTTGTGCATGTCTGTTAATAAAAAATAAAAACTCTGCACAACATTAATTAACGATGTCTACTTTTTTAAAACTGATGCAAATGTTATATTGGCTTTCGGCAAGCCTTAACAATTTTTTGAAGGATTGCTAAAGAATGCACAGGTTTGGTGGTGCCCAATACGTAAAGGGACTGGTTTATATTGCGTGTCGCGTTAACTGGGGCGATCGTAAATTCTTACCCAGAATTGTAGAATAAGCATTTAATAAAAAGAAAATGGTCTTAACCGGAATTCAAAGAACCATACACAAAAGATGTAAACACTAAGATAAGATCATTTCAGGAAATTTTTACACATACTGCAAGAGCCACAATTAAAGACAAAACGACTACCCACATGCTGCACAAATTTCTCACGATTTTTGAGAAAAATTTACATCATCAATCAAACACTACAAGATAACACAAAGGTACACATGTTCATCTACAAATGGATCACTGATTGTTTTACACTTGCAACAATAGTTTTACAATATTTAAAAAAAAATATTGGCTACTATACAGAACACGTCGCAATCATATGAAACATATGAATCAAGGCCAAAAAATATGTTGAAAACAACGTCCATGTATTGACGTTCTGGGATATCTTTAAATGTTGAGATAAACAACTTGTTGACATGCTCTGACAATGTCCCCCAAAAAGTCACGTTCATATATATACATGTAGGCAATGCATCAATATGAACATTAATCAAATTTTAAGTCTTGCTTGATTCTAAGACAAAAACAGTATGACTAACTAATAATGTGTTCAGCCCTATTCTAATAAAATAACACTTGATCAGCCGCTGGCATTAAGTCAGATATCTCCCCCCCCCAAAAAAAAAATTCTGAGACAAGTTGCAACACGACCTTTGCAATTTAAGAAGTTCACTTCGAAAAAAAAAAAAAAAATCACTGCAAAACATGTTGTGACATGTCTGCAAGTCGGAAGCCACATTTTCACATATTTTACAAACCCTCGTTCAACAGAATCATCTAAAGACTGCACAAAAAATTACCAAAAACAAAACATCCAGTTAAACGCCTCTCCTCAGTTTGACTTGTCATAAAGGTATTATAAAATAAATTTCCTTCGTACTTGTAAAACTCCTCGTGATATTAAATGTTGAATGTGTTTATTGTGAAAGATGAAAACAAAATTCAACAAAACACGACATCGTGCAATTACACATGTACATACTAACTCTAGTCACAAAAAGATGACAACAAAAACGGCCAAATCTAGTCACAAGAAGATGATATACAAAAATTGCCACGGCATGGTACACAAATGCGTACTTCCTTCATCCGGACTGGACCCAAGCGCGTCCGGCAGGCTGTAATCCTGCGAGTCGAAGCCGCCGCCCATTGTACTGGGCGGGGCCGAGCTGGTCTGGGAGGCGGAGCCAAACTGGGTGAAGGCGCGGTCCAAGTCTTCCTCCTCTTGGTCCGGTTTGAGTGGGGCCGTTGGGCCGCTGCTGCCGCCAGAGCGGACGGAGCTGGTGCGGCTCAGATCTGAGAGGGGAGAAGAGGATTAATTCACGGGCCGACGAGAGAAGAAAAGATGAGGAAAGTATACAAAGATTCATGGGGATGAGGGAATGGAAGTGGCGATAGAAGATAAGATGATGGCATTAAAAAGTGGTGACAGATGGGGGAAATGAGGAGACACGGTTGAGATGGAGGCAGATACAGAAAAAGAGACAGAGATGGGGATAGAGACAGACAGAGATGACGATGGAGTCAGGCAGAGACAGACGGAAAGGGACACAATTGGAAATCGAAATTGGAGAAAAAGATATAGGCAGAGATAGTGATGGAGACTGAGACAGATGAATACAAAGATGAAGATAGAGAGACGGATACAGAGACAAGGATGAAAATGGAGACAGGAGAGAAGTGTAGAGGCGACAAAGATATTAACAGAGACAAAAATGGAGACATAGATGGAGATAATGACAGAAATTGAGACAGAGATGGAGATAGCGACAGAGATACAGATAGAGACAGATACTGAGACAATAACAGAGAGAGAGACAATAGCAGAGACAGAGACAATGACGGAGACAGAGACAATGACGGAGACACACACTATTACAGAAATGGAAACAGTGGCAGAGATAGAGACAGGGACAACAGAGACAGAGATGGAGACAAAGATGGAGACATACAGATATGGAGACAGACAGCGAAGGTGACAGACAGAGACAGAGACAATATCAGACTTGGAGATGGAGAGAGAGACAGAGACGGAGACAATGACAGATAGAGACAATGAAAGAGATGGAAACAAAGATGGAGACAGACAGATATGGAGACGGACAGAGATAGGGACAGAGATAGGGACAGAGATGGCAACAGACAGAGACAGAGACTATATCAGACTTGGAGATGGAGAGAGAGACAGAGACGGAGACAATGACAGAGACAGAGAAAATGACAGACAGAGACAATGACAGAGATGGAGACAGATAGACACAGAGACAATATCAGACTTGGAGATGGAGAGAGAGACAGAGACGGAGACAACGACAGAGACAGAGAAAATGACAGATGGAGACAATGACAGAGATGGAGACAGATAGACACAGAGACAATATCAGACTTGGAGATGGAGAGAGACAGAGACGGAGACAATGACAGAGACAGAGAAAATGACAGAGACAGAGAAAATGACAGATGGAGACAGATAGACACAGAGACAATATCAGTCTTGAAGATGGAGAGAGAGACAGAGACGGAGACAATGACAGAGACAGAGAAAATGACAGACAGAGACAATGACAGAGATGGAGACAGATAGACACAGAGACAATATCAGACTTGGAGATGGAGAGAGAGACAGAGACGGAGACGACAGAGACAGGGAAAATGACAGATGGAGACAATGACAGAGTTGGAGACAGATAGACACAGAGACAATATCAGACTTGGAGATGGAGAGAGAGACAGACACAGAGACAATGACAGAGACAGAGAAAATGACAGATAGAGACAATGACAGAGATGGAGACAAAGATGGAGACAGACAGATATGGAGACCGACAGAGATGGTGACAGACAGAGACAATAACAGACTGGGAGATGGACAGAGAGACAAAGATGGAGACAATGACAGAGATGGAGACAGATAGACACAGAGACAATATCAGACTTGGAGATGGAGAGAGACAGAGACAGAGACAATGACAGAGACAGAGAAAATGACAGATAGAGACAATGACAGAGATGGAGACAGATAGACACAGAGACAATATCAGACTTGGAGATGGAGAGAGAGACAGAGATGGAGACAATGACAGAGACAGAGAAAATGACAGATGGAGACAATGACAGAGATGGAGACAAAGGCAATGACGGAGACAGAGACAGAGACAATATTAACACAGTCAGAGTTGGAAACAGAGACAATGACAGAGATGGGGACTTAGACAGAGATGGAGACAGAGGTAACGACAGAGATGGAGATGAAGACAATGACAGAGATGGAGACTGAGCCAAAATAGAAACGAAGATAAATTAAAAGACAATGATGGAGATGAAGATGATAAAAACTAATGTATAGCCAGGTAGAAAACCATGAGGAACAGAAAAAAGATAACTTAAACCACAAAAGAGTAGGAAACAAGAATCAGCACTCAAAAAGAAATGTGGATAACAAATTTTGGGATAGCTTTTAGGAGATTCAGATTCTCATCACTAAAATACAAACACATGGCAAACACTAGACGGACCATTTCCATACTAAAATCTCCCAAACTATTAAGGAGTGCTATTTGGTACCAATTACACGGGTCAACTTCTACAGAAAAAAAATATGTCTAGAATACTTTTTGAACATGTACATGAATTGCATCAATCAGGCTCCAGACCCTTAATACTTTATGTTAATCTTACATAATCTTATATCTTTATTGTAACAAATAGTTTAATTTAAGATTTCTTGAAGTAACAATGCTACGAACTGCATGCAGTTTTTGACTAAGTTTTACTACACAAGATGCAAGAAAACTATTAAAATAAGTCCAACTCAACGTACTGCACGTATGTTATTCATCTCCCTAGGGCCCTGCACTTTTCATTTTTACGTCCCACCTCCAAAGTTCTCAAATTCACAATTCCACTTCTTGACCTTATTATTATTTTCTTCTTGCTTTCCCACTGTGGGTAAAATTACTATGAATGCACTTTAGATGTATTTGACCATCCCGTTGCTTAGCAACACATCATCCTCATCATCCTTGTCGCTAAGGGAGGAAGGACCATGTATATATTAAAGTTCATTTCACGTTCTCATGTTTAATCCAATCAGTAGTCATGGCAACAGCATGCAGGGACATCTGATAATTTGAGACGGTGGGGGGGGGGGGTGACAGTCACATTAAGATGAATTTGGACTGGCGGCATCATCACTTCTGACAAGTCGCCCACTGCCCTTTTCATTGTTTCGTCTCGAATGCTTTCTCCTCGATTGAAGAATACAGGAAATGAACAGTTTGCTTCCGTTCATCAAACGTCGCCTGATTTAATTACCCGGCACAAATGACGACTCGACAAACAGCGAAATGTCACTGTCGAAAAAAACTAATGATTTTCCTTACTGACTTAATGAGAAGGGCAGACTCAGTAAAACATGTTACTGTTGGTGTCTGTTTCTTTGGCTTTGCTAGTCAATTTGCAAGACATATAACAATTTCTTAATTTCACTCATTTGACCAGAGTTTGAAATATAAATATTTGTTAAATGACTAGCTACCACCAAAATGACTGAAATTCATCAATTTAGTGAATACAATATGACCAAGATCTTTCAAAGGTGTTTCTGTATTCTTTTGCAACGGCCACTTGCTAAAATCAATGTTATTAAGTCGTTTTTATAAAAAAAAATCATCTACGATCTACTGCATACATAGGATTCTGCATATTCATATGTATTTAGGCAGGGAAATAAACAAAACAATACTTATTTGCTCACCTTGTATTTAACAATTGACCAGAAAGATGAATAGTAAATGCTTCATAAAGTCAAGCAGTAAGCAACGTGCTGCTTATTTCTCACACAGAGTATGATGTCAACAACACAAAATACTTCAAGAGGTTCTCACTCATTTTTGTGGCCTGCGAGGGTAGAGGGTTTTTTTTGGTTTTAATACATATATGCACAAAAATGGCAGCATCAAGATGCATACTCTCCGGGAGCTGAGATCATTTTAGGAATGCTTTATAGGCCAGATGAGCAGGGTTAAAGGGAATATACAACATTTGCAAACATCAACAAATAAAACTACCAAGTCTTTACGAAATACCTTACTAGGATGTTGGTTAATGACAGTCTAAAGCATCCTGTAAAATTATGGCACCAGGTGTGAAGTTATTTTCAAGAAAATGGTATTTTTGTATAAATTTCCAACGGTGGTCGGCCGACCACCGTTGGAAAAACCTAACTAAGTTTCAACTACTGCTCCAAATTTACCATTTTTTTCCGTCAAAATTTTGTTTGCTTTTGGTTACATGTTCATGAACGGGTGAAAGCCAGCTAGACTGGTTCCCTTACCTTACAATTTTCCGGCATCTATAACTTGATCCATTTCATCTTTAGTGGAGTCAGGGAACCAGACTACTTGAACATTTTCTTTTTTCTTGGCTTTTTCAGCATTTTCGAACACAAAACTTCAAAAATGTCAGTGTAACAATATTTGATTTATTATACAAACCCCTCAAATAGTTCATTTTTGAAAATTGCAGCAAAAGCCAATGAGGTACATTCCCTTTAACAATCATCGTGTAGTCACATGCACCGGAAAACATCACATTATTATTAGAACCCAGCTACATGTACTGGTACATGTAGACATACCGGTAAATCACGTTCCTCACACCATCATTTTTGCGTTACTAGGTTTTACACGTTACTAGGTTTTACACGTACATGTACGTTTATACATGCGTGTCAACTTGCCAAGTGTTCTCACACCTGGTATCCTAATGCAGTATGCCTAAATTCATGCACATCCTAAACAAGGAGTTTCACCCACATTGTGCACTCCGGACGATAAACTGAAACTCTATCCCTTCATTAAAATGCAACAGCTGGCCGACCTATTCTAACCACAGCGCATATAACTTGAGGGAAAATTCACTCCAGCAAAACTGTTTAATTCAACACCTGTTTGCTAATTAAACTCTAGTAGATGTGACTAAAGCTTAAACAAAACTGAATAAATGAAACTGATTCTTAAATCTAGATTGCATGTCATATGTTTTTGTTCTGTGCATCACTAATAATGTTTTCTTATGCTTTATTTTTCTGTGTAAAAAATATCATTATATTTCACACAGAATTTTTTTTTCAATTTTTAAATTTTTCTAAGTGACAAATAAATTCAACAAAAATTGACAAAAAATCACATCAACTTAAGACTTGTATAAATTGAAGTTTTCTCTTTTAGAAAACAGCCCAGACTTATTTTTCATGCATTTGAACAAAACCAAAAACCAAACAAAAAGCACAAGAAAAACTAGTGCCATTTCAAAACCGGTACGATAGTCATCACTTATCTAATAGTGAGGTTTCATACAAATTACAAAAAAAAAAAAAAAAAAACAAGATAAAAAGAAAAAACTAAATCCATTTCTTTTATTTTCAGGCAAAACTGGGAAACATTTGTACAGGTTACAGAAGGCTACAATCTAAGAGATCTTCAAAAGATTCTTTTAACACCAAAAGATGGCTACACTACTGCTACTTAGGCTATGTCTGAATTACGTGGCTACAGCTAGTACACACGTGCCTATGGTAGCGGCTGCAGCCAGTTTCCAGACAGGCGTGTGTTAACTGCTAGCCGCAGCCAACTAATTTGGACATTGGATTCTACATTGTGTAAGTCTAGAATTGAGTGCATGTGAATTTTAACACTACTGATCAAATCTGACAATTTTGGAGGCGGGTAGAGGAATGAATAATTGAATTAATCCGAGGAGGTAGACAGAGTGATATGTGAGTCGACTGCTAGGAGTTTTCTCAGAAATTTTTCAAGTTTTGCCCCCTTTTTCCCCCAAATTTATAGAGTCTACCGGTACATGTCTTTATGCATAAACATAAACAATTACCAACGCGGGCCAAATCACGATTTGTATGCCCTCAATGTTTTTGCTTTTAGAGCTTTAATTTGATGTGTGTCTCAAACACCTTGGAGAGTTGTGAGTATTTTTCCTGATCTTGAGAAGTGGGGGGTATTTATCACTGAGGTCTATAGCAGTTTATTTGCTGGTCTGCCACCCGAAGTGACTACCCCTTTCAATCCCACAATGCTTTGCATGGATACGACCACATGGAATATTGATCAGATTTGTCCAAAAAATACCCAAGGATCAGGGAGCTTCGACCCTATCCCTCTTAGATCTTTCAAAATCTAGGTTTTTGGAGCATGTTGTAGGATTGAAGAAGGTAGAGCCCAGCAACTATTACTTTAAATGTACATATGGGGCTTAATGCTCCTTCAAACTTGGTAGGTACAAAGAGGGTGCCACTGGGTTCCTACACCGTGGAGGATTTTAAAGGATTAAGGAAGAATGCCTTGACAATAGTCATGGAACAAGATGCATCCAGTCCCTGACAAGCTGCTGTTGTTATATAGACGAGGGCGCTTTCAACAAATCAATTCTTGGGAACTTTGGCAGCGCTACCCAGAAAATTTTGAGCGCACCTCCCCCTGTGCATTAACTTGAATACAGCACATGCAAGGTACGCATGGAATATCCTGAATAGCACTGCCAACGTTCCAAACACTGGATTTGATTCATCTTGATGATGGTGACCTCTACCGCTGCGGTGGCTTTACAGTAAAATAAAGTCTTGGACCGAGACTATACCATAAAGATCTTGGGGGTGAGGGTTTATCAAAAGGATCAAATGCACAAAATAATTTCTATTATAAATCAGAGAAAGGAAGATCGTTTATCTACAGCCAATCTACAAGAAATCAGAAGCTATTATGACTACCAATGTAGCATCGGGGTCTGGGAGAGATCTAGGCAGAGTTGTAACCAAGTCATCACAAGTCAATCACATGTCCATCACAAGTCAATCACATGTGAATTACTGTACAGGTCAATCACAACTCAATCACAGGCCAGTTTAAGTAAAATTGCAAGTCAGATCACAATTCCAATGAGAAAGGAATGTCATTGTCACAGTTCATTTGAGTAGCTTGTGACTAACATGTGACTGACTTGTGACTAACACGTGACTGACTTGTGACTAACACGTGACTGACTTTGTGATAGACTTGTGATGATTTTTGATTGATTATGATTGACTTTTGTGAAGACTTGTGATTGACTTATGATTCACTTGTAAATTGACCTTTGATTGACATGTGATGACTTGTGAATGTCTTACGACAAACTTGTGATTGACTTATGATCGACTTGTGATTGACTTACGATTGACTTGTGATTGACTAATGATTGACTTGTGATTGACTAGTGATTAACTTGTGATTGACTTGTGATTGAGTAGTGATTGACTTGTGATTGACTAACGGTTGACTTGTGATTGACTAACGACTGACTTGTGATTGACTCTTGATAACGTACTGGAGATTAACTTGTGATTGACTACCGGTTGACTTGCGAGTGACTTATGACAAACATGATTGAATTGACTTGTTGATTGACTTGTGACAACTTGATAACAACTCTGCTATCTAGGCAGCAAGCACTTTGCAAGTCAGGGGAATTCTTTCTCTTTCTTTTTCTTTCATTCATTTTTTCTTTGACATGCCAAATCAACGCCATGCCGTCCTACCTGAGTTGGAGACGTTAGTGCTTGTGAGGGAGCGAACCGAACTGGCGCGACTGCGTTCTGTCGGGCCAGAGTGCCGTTTTTTTTGCACGGTTAACGGTGCAAGTATCACAATGGGTGCAAGGTGAAGGTGCGTGCGTGAGTATAAACGTGATTGAAAAAAATGAAACAACAAAAATAAGGGAGATCATGATAACAAATAATGTAATAAGTTATACCCAAAGATTTTGTTATCAATGTTAACACTACTTATTAATAATGAATACTTTTGAATTTGAAACTGTCTGAGTGCTCCCTGCACCTACATGCATGCATTGCTACGGCAACAAACTGAATTCCACCATAAGATGCCATTATAATTCAAAATCAGAAAATGGTAAAATATAAAATAATATTTAAACATAACCCTTCATTTTTCATGTTATTATACGCCAATGTTAGGAAAGTTTTAGTTTGAACCACCACCCAACAATGAAAAAACAGTTTACATTTCAAATCAACCACAGAAACGTGATGAAATTCAAATTGTGTACCAGCACCAAGTGAACTGATTAAAAGTATTTAAAAATTGATATCAAAAATGGTGTTAATCATTTTAAATTAATTGGAAATAAAAGTTTTGTTTTTGTCTTCGGCAAATAATTTTTTAAAAGGGGGCCAACGGAAGCATTTATAAGTGTTAATAAGGAGGTTCCAAAAGTTGGGGGTTTTTTGTTTCAAAAAATGTCTAACTTACCATTGTCTGAAATAAATGTCGAAAGGAGTAAAAAGAAAACACTCATTATTGTTGGGCGACTTCAATATAGGGTCTACCCTTCGCAGATGTAATTTCATAAGCAATGTACAGACCACTTTAAATTCTATCACGAAGGCCCCCTTCCATGGCGAAAGCATTGTGCTTGCTATTGTTCAGATACTCCGTCACGGGGCACTGGCTTTGTACAATAGCATGCACAGTGGTTTCTCCATTGAAGGGGGCCTCAGGAGTGTCCAATGATCTATACTTATTGCTTAACTAAATTTAAAGTTGAGTTCTGGTAAAATGTACTTTAAATTTTGTTTGGACTGAAAACCTTTCTTCGCTGTTTGAAACTCCCCTTTAAAATTTACATCTCTGTGACACTAAAAATGGCGACGGATACAAATTCCACCAAACTCACCTCCGAGCGTGCTGCGTTCACTGTCGGACTCGTCTCTCGCCGCGTCGTGGCTGCTCTCGGTGGTGCTAGCACCCCCATACCATCCAGCGCTGCCAATGCTGGTCCGACTCCCCGCCATGTAGTTATTGCCGTACATGGAGCTGCCCGTGCCATTCTTGCTGCCAATGCTGATGTTGTCATCTGTTTTTTTTTGTTCAAAAATTAAAATTAAAATGACTAAATCACATAAGAAGATGGTTCTCGAAACCATGTGTCTCGCCAGCATTCGTGATTATCTTTAAAGAGTGACTAATCAGTATGAAGGTTGCCATGTTGCAGCTACATATGACCCAAGTTTGGTTCCAATTGGACTTCAACTTTTCCAATGAGACCAATTTTACACGTTCAGCCTCTTGACCTCAGATGACATTAGACCTTGGTATGTGACCTTTGACATTATCATATGAAGGTTGCCATGTTGCATCTATGACCCAAGTTGGTTCAAATTGGACTTGTACTTTTGCAATGAGACCAATTTTACATGTTCAGCCTATTTTACAACTTGACCCCAGATGATGGTCTGGGGTCCATTGGACGGTCACACTTTTGGTGGCTGACAATCAGATGAAAAGAACCAAACATGCCAAAGGGAAAGAATAATCGGTGACATATGGAATGGAACATTCCATCTGTTATGTCATGAAATTATTCTTACCATTGCACTCCTAAACATTCATTACTTGTATATCACACTGTTGTTGCCATGGACTGACCAATCAGGATTGGGGATTCAAGCTTGCTTGAAGATAAAATGTAATTGTCCATGTTTGATGGGTAAGATTATAAAACTACAATTATGGAGAAAAAAATCATGCGTTTCCAATTTCACACTAAGCAATTAGGTCTGTAACCTGGACACCACATACAGAAACAAACACTGTTATAAAGTATGGTTAGGTACCAGACCATTTTGTACCTAATTGTAATGTGCAAGATTTTTTAACATGCAAATGATCTAGTACCAGGGTGAGAGAGCAGTTAGTGGCAGTATACCGGTACTTTTCGACACCATGGTGCAAGACTTGGGTTTAGGCGCTTGCCAGCCAGACAATATGTTCATCAGTAAATGTTCATCAGTCCAAAATCTGACATCCAATGAAACCTGAGCCAACCAATACAATTCAAACTTAAAAAAACCCAGCTTGACACTTTTGAATATTTGAATAAAAAAATTGCTGTGGGATATCCAGCTGATGACCAAATATCCGTATATTTGGTATATTCGGTACAACCCTAGTAAAATCCAATTTTTCCTCTTCACTTTTTTTTTTCTAAATTATTCCGTCCTTGCCATGCACTTCACTCTTATCTCAAGTGTAAACAATCCATTTCCGTTTTTGGTTTCTTATTAATCTGACAACGTTGATAAATTCGATAACGATCGATACCGCAGTGGAAAGCTGATTATTATGACAGCCAACACGAAAATGCGATTTCCGCTAAATTAAAAAAAACCTAATAATGAAACTGATAAGGAACTGAAAGGAAATTTTGAAGTACCGTACCGTACATGTATATTGACAATATTTGGGTTTTCGAGATGCAACAGTAAAATAGTAGACAATTAATCAATGTTTATGAGTGCAATGGTAAGAATACTTGGATGACAGATGGAATGTTCCATTCCACTCGGCTTCGCCTCATGGAATGGAACATTCCATATGTCACATCATGTAATTATTCTTTTCATTGCACGAATGTGAACACACATTAGGCCTATTTGTTTTATACAACACCTGACTAAATCCTCGTCATCTGATTGGTCAGAGCCACCAATCATGTGACCATGCAATGGAACTTCTATTTACCGTGGAATAGAACTTTTGTTTTTGAGGTGCGGCCGGGCCGCGAGTTGGAAAAATAATTCATTGACATGTGATCAACGACCCATCAATCAGATGACGGGGATTTATTCAGGTGTTGTACAATAAATGATGTCGTCTTCCTGAAGGTTGTTAATCTTTGACATTATGTGCGACAAATTCAGCAAAACATTTGCAGCGAAATGCACCTCCGTTATGCATTTACCTTTTGCCAAACACAGTGTGAATAACTGCCGTGACGTCAACGACTCTGCATTCATGTTTGTATTGCCTAGTGAGAGTTAGTCTAGGAGGACATACGACAACACAAAAACATTCGCGGCAAAATATGCTGGCATAGAATGCTTTCAACTTTAAAGGGATCATGACACAAAATTTACTTTGGAACATATTTTATGCAACTTTCTTCTTCTCTTAAATATGTATGAAAACTATTTGACATCCACTTTTGGTAAATTGTTTGGAAAAGTGCACGTTTTAAACATTTAAAATGTTCCATACTATTCCTGACAACTGAGGGCGCTGTTGCTGTGACATTGTGTGATGTCATTTTAGGAACACACTCTTTGGTTAGGGGGTTTTCTGTTCAAGTTGTGAACCCAAAATTTGCTTTATTGAAATCATTTGTGGAAAAGTTTGCTCCTTGACTTACTGTCATGTATTGCAAGAACAATGAATCAACAAAAAACCAGAAAATTTACATGAGCAAAATATCCATACATTGACAAGTTGACAAGAAATTATTTGAGGAAAATACCAGTAATATGTCATGGGACATTATATGACTTGTGCCATGTGACATTATTGAACATTATTTGACATGTGCCATGCGACATTATTTGACATATGCCATGTGACATTATTTGACACATGGCATATTATATTGGACATTACTTGACATGTGCCATTCAACATTTTTTCACATAGGAAACTATTTGACATGTCTCGATCATGAGACATTATTTGACATGGGACATTATCTGACATGTGCATGGGACATTATCTGACATAGGACATTATTTGGCATGTGTCATATGCAACTTTATTTTTCATGGGACATTTTCGTCATGGGACATTATTTGACATGTGTCACGCAACATTATTTGTCAAATGGGACATTATTTGAAATGTGTCTCGGGATTTTGTTGCCATATGGGACGTTATTTGACATATGTCATGAGACATTATTTGACATGTACGGTATCATGGGACATTATTTCACATGTGTCATGGGACATTATTTGTCATGGGACATTATTCGACATGTTCAAATAAAGAACAACAAAGAAACCCCTCAACCCCCCCCCCCCCCCCCCCCTTTTAAAAAGGAACTGACGCCAAGGCACGACGACGACGCAGCTGCAAAATTCCACTGGCGTGAATACGCCGACCCCCTTAGAATCAATGTGACAAGGTCGATTCGTCTCCGCTAATACAATTAATCAATCAGAAACAAGGCGAACAAACATCTTATGTATGTGCAGCCTCGGGGGAAGAAGTAAAATACGGCATCGGGTTTCATTCAGACAGTGAGAAGAAAATGTATTCCTGCTAAGAATTGACTTAAAATCTAACACGTTAAAATCTAACACGTTACAATTTTTAACAGGTCTGTAAACTGGCCTCATCTTGGTACAATTGTCAGGTTAAAATGGCTGCTACACAAGCTGTACCAGTATTAATGGTCACCCTATCTATCAAACCACTTAAACAGGCTTTGGCAGTTATACGGTGTAATCCATAGGGATTTCTGGTAGTTGGTGACCAGCCTGTACAAAAGCTACTGAGAGAGATACAAGGGGTTAGGTTTTTAGCTGCGGGAAAGCAGCTCTAGAAATGATCATGTCTCTCTGTTGGTTAGTAACAAATGTCAGCAAATGCCTTTTATGGCAATGAAAAACCTTGTCCCTTGGGCCCTCGCAACAACACCTGCTTCAGGTTTCCACTGACCAGATACAAATTTATTAATATTACAGTCATGGAAAACTGGGTCAGGAGGTCACTCATTTCGCATTGGGGCCGCACTATGCTGCACACAAATTGGTTGTTTCACATGCTATAAATCACTCCATCCACCAACTGACATATGACTGACCAACAAATGAGAATCCTTTTCAATTAACAGCCACAACCATGTGTGAATAGTTGTACATTACAGGAACAGACTTTTACATCATGTACATGACTTAGGCTACAGCAGGTCTACAGTTGGGCTGTAAGGCCAAAAAAACTAATAAGTCGGTCTCTGGTCAGCGCGCGCGTCGATTTTAATCATGCGCGTCGATCTTTTTTTTTCCAAAAATGTTCCGCGGTAGCTCCAACGCACCTCCTCAATTTTTTTACCAAAGAGCACCAAGGATGGGAAATTGCACCAAGGCAAATGATCGAGAGCACCAAGGCAAATTATGGAGGACACCAATGTACATGAGGACACCAAAAAAGCAAAATAGTACCCCACCTTGTCTGTACAATCCAAGCTTGAAGGAAAAAAAAAAAAAAAAAAAAAAAAAAAAGCCGCGTGGCCGTGTCAATTCCGGAACTTTGGTCTGACCAGAGACCGAATATTTTTTTTTTTTTGGCCTACCTTCGGAGATCATTTCGAGCTTGTTTGCGATTGCTACAAGTATAGGAAGATTTACATGAAGCACTGAAGGTAAAATATGGGACACTAAGGTGCACTTCAAGAATATTTTTTTTTCAAGTAAGGTAACTTGAACACAATCCACTAAACTACTGAGGAGAATTTGATTTCAACCCAGGTCATTTGATAGCTGCTAGACCTGCAAATAAACACAACAGATCAGACAAGAGGTAGTCTCATATGTGGGGCGATTTTTTTTCTTCTCCATAATTAGCTTGTGACGCATGTCTTTTCCCGACGCAGTCCATGCATCACTTCTCATGTGGCACATACTCTCTCATGCAAAAAGCAAATTACCAGCTTTTGACCGTGTCTACAAATGGGTACAGTGTCCAATGTACATGTACAGCGCTGCTGAACTCGTAGACTGGAATTTTATCGTTAAAGGGGTACCATTTGTCAGAATTTTTAATTTCTACTGGTCAAAGGGGAACCAGACTATAATCCTCTATGTACCACTGACTGACTGTCACTTGTGAATCAAATATGGCACAATGCATGGATATACCAAAGATCTATCATTAGTTCTCTTTGAAATTACATTTTGTACATCTTCTTTATGGAGATTCTTCAGAAATTAAACTAAATTTATTTCGGGGGAAAAAGAAGTTTTTTGTGTGATGTAATACAAATGATTGTTCACTAAAGTGTTGCTAGTAAGTCAAGATGCAAATTTCTTAAGATGTTTCATAAGTTGGTCTTTCCGTGCATAAATTAGCATAAATTTAGTTATAAAATGTCACACACATGACCGATCAAAATGTCACAAACGTGACCACAGAACAATTCCCATTTAGTAAAACTAAGGCAGAGGGTGAACATTGTTTATGCATTTTTATCACAAAGGACTAGTCTTACTCTAAAATTAGTAATGGTGTGTGTGTCCTTAGAACTTTGGAGAAAAGTGTGAATTTCCGATAGGGGCCCCATAACATTTGTACGTTTATGTCACACACGTGACCAGACTTTGATGACCCCTCCTAATATTTTGACACAATTTGTGAAAGTAGAAACTATACTCTGAGGTAGGGAGTAAAAAGTACTTACCTGGTGAATCAGTGAAAGTAACATGTCAGATGTAGTTAACAAAGAGTAAAGCTTCAAAAATCAGAGGAGCCCAATTTTATGTCACACATATGATGGAAGAATGCCCCTTTATTGCAAAGTTTTTACCAAAATCTGCCTTGTGTGAATGAACTACGCGTTGCAAATTGCGGTCACGATCTGTATGCGATAAATCAATAGGACCCACCTGTGTTTGTCTCCCTCTTGGGTTTCCTCTTCCGGCCGATGCTGACTTCGTCTTCCGAGCTCGACGATTCTGATTCGCTCTCGCTGACCTCAGCTGAAAATGAAGAAGAAAGAAGAAAAAAAAACTAGAGATTGTCCGAATTTTCTTGCCGATTGAGAAATTGCATTTACAATGTACATATATGCTGGTACCAGAGGGCCAGCCTTATTGTGCCTATCTCACCGACCGACCGACTCACTGACTGTCACTTGTGAGCCGGGCAGTGCTATCATATAGGATTACCCCGTTATGCCCAATGAATGGGCCAAGTCTGGACCCTTGTGTAGAACAGATGCATGACATGACTTCCAGTGAATAGCCATTCTGAATCAATTAAGTAGAATATTGTGTGCTCTGAGACCAGATTTAATAGACTTTCCTAGTCTTGAGATCGATATTCTGATGTAATAAACTTTCATACATTCATTTATACTTCAATCTAAATACCGTCAAACATCCTTTTATACTGTGATTTTATAAAGTTGAAATTTTTTATTTTTTTTATTTGCTTACAACTGATCTTTTTTACACAATCATTTTTTTCACACAATCACTTGATTGACTTATTTTTAATTTAAAGTGCGGCTTATCAATCCACTTTCATTTGATATTAAATTTATTCTTTGGGTATTACAGTTATGATAATACTTAACAATGTTATCACTTTATTATTTCTATTACTACCATTCTATCATACAATCAATAGCATGTTTTCACATCCCCTAAAAAAAAATACACAAACTTCCCAAATTCCCACACACACTCAAATTTATTCTTTGGTCTAACGGCATCATCTTGAAATTGTCAACATGTTTTTTTCTATCTCCTAAAAAACAAATGGCATATATTCAAACATCCCACATATTTCCACACAAGCATATTTATTAAAGTAATCATTATAAATTTGATCATTTCCAGCCATTTTGAATTCCTCCTCCAACTGCCAACTTGTTTTGCATAATCTCCTCATAGAAAAATAAGGTTTTCCAAAAGAACAAATCACATTCTAAAATGCAGAACAATATCAAACCCTATATGCATTCAAATTTATTCTTGGGTATTTACTCAATAAAGCTATCTTTATCCATGGATAATAGTACGTCATCAAGTAATTAACATTATGTTTTCTGCAAAACCTCTCTCCCAGAAGTAAAAAAAACCTTTTTAGGCATCAAAGTCGTTTTCTTTACAAAGTGGCCTTTGAAATTTGAGAAATCCTTAGAGTGGTCGTCCTAATCATGATTTTCATCCTTTGATCTGTTTGTTTGTCGGTGCGTTTCCCTGTTGATGGACCCTCATACTCTTTCAGATGTTGATACTACAAGAGCCGCCATCAACAACCGTAACAGCCACTTTTGATCCAAACACAGCCAAAAGAATCATCTTCCTAATGTACTCGGGCCACACCAATGAAAAATGGAGTTATAGGTAGGCTAGTCTAGCTTGTCACTATATCTGTCGTTGTTGTTGTTGCTTGGAGGTTCTTTTCTCGTTATATCAATTTATCTTTTTAACCCGAAAGACCGGTGTCATATAAAATTTGGACTCCTATCAAATCTGGGCTCTTATAAGGATTCTTACCCTCGCACATGATCTGTCACTGTTCTAATTATCTTCACTAGGAGTCCGTATTTCATACAGACAAAATTTCCAGTTTGCACTCAGTGCGAATTTGTGACGTCCAGGCAACTTTTTGTACTGTGAGCTCGCAAACGTTGAATGCATACATGTACATGTAACTCCGCCAAATTTCGCAGCGAATGTTTCCAGACGTCACATTCGCTTTGCATTCGCATTTGTGTGAAGTACGAAACGACATTTTTTCCTCCTCTTGCAAATTCCAACACCATATGGGAAACTGCACACACATATTTCTGACTTTGATTCTGGAGGTGTGCCAACCAATGTAAACGACTGCCAGTTTAGGGGTACTGTACCCATCCTGACAGATTCCAACAAAATATGCCGTTGGGGTTTGAAAGGTTGAATTCTGTTAGGGTGTCAGTCAGTTAGGTTCTAGGCCGGCCAAAATAACAATCAATAAACCTTGTTACAAAGTTTGAGTACAAATTCAGGATGACATGATCCCACAAACACAAACTCAACTTCCCCTGGCCGTATTCATTCTTTACAACCGAGTCCGTCTTGAGATTACGCCCGTCCCACACAGACACAGCGAGCACCAAAAAAACAAGCTACAAAACAGACTCAAAGGGATTGGATCTAGCGGGCCGTCGTGATTTCCCAGAAGGCCCCGGAGCAAGTGGTGACGCAGACTGATGAAACAAATATTTGTCACATTAGCGAAGGGGCAGGGGGGTGGAACAAAGTTGCGGGGTTGTAATCAGAACATTCGTTTTCTAGTGGGAATCCCTGCTTCCAAAACAAAGAAACAATTGCAATTTTTTTTTTTTATCACATTCCTATAATTTATTCTTCTAAGAGTAAGATCATTAGCTTTTTGTGCATTTTAAAGGGAAAATACAACATTTGCAAACATCAAAAAATAAAACTACCAAATCATTTTGAAATACCTTGCTGGACTGTTAGTGAATGACAGTGTAAAGCATCCTGTAAAATCATGGCACCTGGTATACTGTCATTTTCAAGAAAAGTGGTATTTTTGTATCAATTTCCAACGCTGATCGGCCGATCAGCGTTGGAAAAAAACTGGCTTTTTTTCAAATACTGGCCCCAGTTGACCATCGCACTTGTTTGCAATCGATTACACACCTATGAACGGGTACAAGCCAGCTAGACTGGTTCCCTGACCTCACAATTACCCAATATATGTAAACTGCTCTGTTTCTTCTTAAATGGAGTCAGGGAACCAGACTACAGAAAAATGATTGTTTTTCTTGGTTTTTATAGCATTTTCGAACCCAAAACCTCAAAAAAGTCAGTTAACTATATTTGCTATATATTTCCAACCCCCCAATTCCATCCATTTCTGAAAATTACAGCAAAAGCAAATGATGTATATTCCCTTTAAGGGATTTGAAGCGACAAAATCACTCACTGTCTTTTAGGTACGATGCATAAAAACTAACCTGTGGAAGTTTCAGTACAGTGGCTACTATATTTTGCGAAAAACAGAGGAAACATATGTGAGGCATTTTGGCAAAATGAGCAAGAACTTAGCAGATGTCGAAATGAGGGTTTGCGGGTTTATTAGGAAAGAGAATAAAATTCTCCTGTTTATTGCACTTCAATTGGACATTCCGTTTACATGTTATGGCTGTATAAAGTTTGCATTTATTGACAATTCAAAAAAAGGAAAAATACTAGGGAAAAAAAAGCCTTTGAAGTTCAAGTTTTGTTGTCGTGAAAATTGAAGATGCCAAAATTGTTTTCCTTTATAAAACACTTTTATTCCAAAATTTGTATGCTATTTTTAAAAAATATGTGTAATACACATATCACAGATTACAAACACCAATGAATCTGAAGATCAAAACAACAATTATCCTCAGTTGTTTTTTATTGCATTTTTCTTCACTATGGCCTGTGCCCAGGTTCGTCTCATTTTGCCAAAACACCTCACATATGGCCGAGTTTGGGTAATTGGATTCTACTGCCAACGTACGAATGAAAATAAACGCTTGCCTGCGGAACACGCTTCCTGAAACCACCTTCAATGATTGATTTTTCAATTTTTAATGGCATAATTTCCAAGTGAAAAATGAGGAAATCAGCTGATCTGACGAAAAATTGCCTGAGACTAGCAGTCTGGTACCTGTCGTTAGTAGTACAGTATTAATGAACAAGTGTTTTAATACTAGGGCTGTGCATCGGAACCAGGTACCCAATAACTGACCGTTGATGTCAGGAATCGATTCCATATCCAAACAACTTTACAAATTACTTGGTAACTTTAAATTTATTGTTGTTATTGTTGTTATTTTTTATTATTTATTAATTTTTTTTTTATCTGCTTAAAATTATTGTTTATACTTGGTAACTTCTCAGACAATGAAAAAGAAATGTTTTGAATGTCATTTGTGGAGAATTGTCAAGATGAAAACCAGGCAACATAGGAAAACAAAACACATTCACGTTTATGTTTGCGAAAATTCAAATTAATGCTACATGCAGGCCTATTGAGCTCACTGTACACACTTTTATCTTGCTGTATCGATGCACTGATACATAGAGTAGATTATCGTGCAGACCTTTAGGGACGATCTGTACAGCAACTTCTGAGATTTAAATTTTGGGGTTGGTTTCTTTAACGGGTACCCGTAGTTTTTTTCAAGCGGGTACCCAATTCCCGTACTACCCGTGCACACCCCTAATGCCTACTGCACATATGGCACACACGCAATCATAAAAAACCTTGCAATTCTTGTCTTCTGGATTAGGTATCACACGTTCCTTCACACCAGCACTAATATATTCAACCTGTTTTCAGATTTAAAATGGAAGTGTTTAAACAGCTTTGGCATTAACTGTCTACACACCGATGCACTTGTACACGTACGTATGTATGTACACGCCCGCGAACAATGTCGGGGCAGTGCTGGAGTGTGCACGTTCCCTTATCAATCAACTTATTTGCAGTGTCACTGCATTTTACACTTCATTGAATTAACTCTTGACATGTAACAAACTCTCGCATCTGGTGGAATATTTTGAGTCAGTCAAGAGCAGGGAGCCCATATGCTGGCCTTCCCTTGTATGGACACTACCAATTTCTTCTTTTTCTTTTTTTTTTACATTAAATGTATTTTGGCAATTTGTTTAACCCTAACCTTCCCAAATCTTCCAAAATCCGCTTTGCAAAATGGAGGATTTTGCAGGATTGAGGCTATGCATGTATGGCAAAAAGGTGTGGCTGATTTTGGAGGATGCACTGTGTCAAGGTCTTGGGCCGGACCATGTGGTGTTTATGCCCAGCCGTGCATAAATTTAGGCCTAGATTATACTTTTAATCCTCCACACAGCTCCAGGATGTCACTGGCTCTGCCTCAAAATATTGACAGTGATTGCTGGAGGATTTTGCAGGATTGAGGCAGTGGGACACCCCTCCAAGAACCACATTCACTCGGAAGATTTTGTAGGATTGAGGCTGTATGCAATTTTTAAATGGAACTTGGAGGATTTTGCAGGATTGAGGTTGCATCATAGCAAAAAAGCCTTGGGAGTTAGGGTCAATTTCGCTTTTTTTGTGTGTAATAATCTTGATGTACGTACATGTACGAATTTCACACCTTGTCCTTGTAAAAACATTACTGAAAGAGCGAACGGAAATTGAAAACTCAATGGCCAAAGTCGTTTACAAGTCTGAACAATTTTAAGTGAGATGTACCTACTTGAAGATGGAATTTTAAGAGAGTGCTTTTTCAAATGTAAGATAGGGGCGGGTTATCTCTGCACATTCTCAAACCAAATTATGATCAAGGGTCTTGTTTACATGTACATGTACATATGTAACCCCCTTGAAAAGTTATCCATGAATTTAAAGGCATGTACATGTACATGTAGGATCATTTGCATTTATCCCCAAACTAAAGTAACCTACCAAAGTATTATCAAAAAGCTTACTTGGATTAAAGATCGTACTGGTACTAAACACCCCGTGAAATAATTCCATCTGTCTTGTTTTTAGAGGAAATCAAGAAATGTAGGTGATTTCCAACGATCTGTCGATTTTGGATATAAAGAGTGCAACATGTTATAGTGAAAATCGAGTTTCAGGATGAAAAAGGTTGTGCATGATTTTTCACTGTTTTCTCAAAAAGTGTAATATCCACTAAGCTGACACTTCAACAGGTTAGGTTTTGAACATTCTTCTTTGGATTTTGAGTGGTGTTATTATTGGAAACAAACAACATGCATGAAAAGCAAATGCCTTTAAGGAGGTTTTTGAAACTTGGACTTTGTCTCCAGCTATGGATACACATACATATATTTGTACTTCAAGATTCCATGTTCCCTAAAAAAAAACCTCTCCTGAAGTCAAAGCTGGAGACAAATCCGTTGTTTCAAAAACCCAACATTATTGCCCGAGGCATTCAAAAAATTGTGTGTCTGTAACCATCCAGACATCTTTGTTTGGCACCTTGCCAAGATCTGTCGTTTTCATATCCCTGTTTTTGCCCGATCAAACGGAACGACATAATACAGGGTACCTGGAATTAAATGCTGGTTCCCAGCTCTTTGCTGCAACCGATTGCAGAAGTGCAAATGAAAACTGGGACAATGCATTTGGGGACCGGCTGTCGGCCATCTTGGATTGGTTGCCACGGTGGGATCATGTGACATACATGTAATTCCTCATGTCGGCCGTCTTGGATTGGTTGCCATGGTGGATCATGAGACGTAATGCCCCAGGTCTTTGTTCCCCCCCCCCCCCCAACATTTTAGCGTGCCATAGCCAGGAGCCATTTCAATTTCTGTTTGCTTTCAGCGCCTGGATGATCAAGTATTGTCCATTAGGAAGTCAACACGTCAGTCTTGCAAATGCGACAGAAATATTTTTTTCGTTGACTCTTCTTGGTTTTTTTTCTTGGCGACTATAACATTAGGGAAGGGAATGAGCTGAACAAAACTGGAGATTGTTTTTCTGGCTGATAAGAAAACTGTAGTTCTGTTAAAATATTCAAGTCATTCCGGTACATGTACAAAATTCACAACAGCATATTAAGCATCAAAATGACCTATAAATTCAAGCCGCACTTTTTCTGTTTCAAGTGTGACATTTTACATTGATTTCTGGTCCAAATGTTGGTCTTAAGTCATGAGAAGGTCAAATTAATTTACAAGCCATTCAGTCAGGGTTTTTGTTTTCTAAAGCTACATATTCACATCCCCATTCAACTGAAAAAAAATCTAACAAATTTCTTTTTTCAACTTATTCTTTGTTAAAGTCAATTTCCTTGTTACCTGTATACAAAAATTGGTGTTTAAATTGTTAAAAGTCAATGCAAGGTCCAATTATAAAGCTTGCTCTACAAATTGAAAAAAAGAAAAATATGTTTGAAGGTACAAAAAAGGCAGTTTTGAGTAGGCATAAACATGTATCTAGTCTTGAAAGAAATTCTAACTTTTGTTTACAATCACAAAAAAGGCCAAATATTCAAATATTTCTGACACTTGTACTAAACATTTTGTACATTGTAGCTCCCGTACAACACATACAAGAACAATATGTACACATAACCTGCATGTTCCTACCATACCGGTAGGTTTACATGTATTGATTCCCATCTCATCAATCTGCCAGCATGTGGTCAATGAAGCCTGACATGCAGGGCACCTATCTATTACAAATTCGTTCCACTTGATGCTTTCGTTTAAAATGAAGCTTCGGTATTAAAGGGTCGTTCAGTAAATGTACGTCACACATCAGGTTTTGAAGAAAAAAAAACATTTGTGACACTCAATTAACATTGAAAATTGTATAACAAATTTTCACACCATGTAGTTGCAATATTTGCGTTGAGAAATTTGATCAAAGTTTGACCAAAAATACTAGATAGGCCTATATGTGTAATTATAATACATAGTTTAGAAATCCTCCGTTTTGCAAAGAGGATTTTAGAGGATTTGGGACGGTTAAGTTTATTTACAGTCACTTATAAACAGTCACTTTATTTATTTTGACTGCTGGGCTGGCTTTGCTGAATTTGCCAGTCAGAGAGGGAGTTTTTTTTTTAAAGAAACAAGATGAAACCAATCACAAATATTACGCCGATGCTGGATCATATATCTCTGTGGTAAACTCTTCCTTGCCCTAAAAAAATATTACTCCTCGTCCATTAGTTGAAGATAGTATGTCGGCTATCACTGCCGGGGGCAAGAGTATAAATCCCAATTGCCGTCACAACTTGTCTTCGTGTGACAGCAACAAATTTCCTGTTTGCGACGGGGTATTGAGACACATTTTTTTCAATTTGCGCGAGTGACGCATTGGAGATTTATCGTTGCTTGTCACAAATACATGTACGTTCCTTGTAGATGCATGTGTGCAAGAAATATTAACCTGTTTCATGGATCAAATTTCTGTAAGTGCTATATGCTATGCATGTCCATGCATTACATGTTTATGTACATTGGTATCCATTTGTAAGCATATGGTTTCTTTGCCAGATTCTCCACATATTTGTAACCAAAATATCAGGGGTTTTTCCCTTTTTTTTACTAATATGTACATGTTATTTCGTTTCGGGAATTCTGTTGAATGGTGTTGAAATCTTTGGTATCTCTCAGCAAAACAGAGCTAGGTAAACTTCTTTTTGTCTGGGAAAAAAACCCAAACAAAATTGGCAATCGATTGCTTCAAATGAAAAGTTAAATACAACTTGTTTAATTTAAGAAACTGACAGGAAAAGATTTTTAAAAATATGCAAGGGCACTAAAAAAAAACTAGCTGTGTTTTGGTTCTGAATCCTGTCAATTATTTATTGTCGCTATGGAGGCTATTGAAATGCATCATGACTGAAATGTGGCGCAACGTAAAAAAATGTTCCGTCCGTAAGTGGCGTTATGCCATTCCCTAAATCGGCTGCAGCTGCATTAGGTGCACAAAAAACAATTTCTGTCTTGAACAAAGACTAATTTATATTCTCACCTTTGTTCCACGTATTGTTGACTCTACCGACTGTAGACTTTCTTCCAGACTTTCTGGTCTCGATTCTCCTGCCGAGGAATCGAGACTGGTCCATCTTCTTCTCTGGAATGACGTACTTTGGAAGGCTCTTAAAAAACCAGGCTCCTGACCTCTTCCACAACTGCGTTTGAAAAAAAAAAAAAAAAAAAAAAAAATTAGACAGCCATCATCAAAAGTTACATGTACTTTAAAAAAAAAAAAAAAACAATGGCCAACTTATGCCGTGAAAAAGATTCATGCGACAAATCAATTGCAAAGAAGCATTTTGTTTTTCTTTTTTTGTGTGTTACCAGGGAAAGAATATGTAAGGCATTCTGGCAAAATGAGACAGAACTGAGCAGAGGTCAAATGAGGGTTTGCAGGTATTAGGAAAGAGAATCAAATTCTCCTTACAATACTGTTTGTTGTACTCCAATCAGACATTCCATTGACAAGGTATGACTGTTTTAAAATTGGCATTTATCGACATGTCAAAAAAGGAAAATACTGAGGAAAAGGTCTTTAAAGTTTTGAGCTTTGTATTCGTAAAAAAGGACAATTATTTCTCCTTAAAAACACTTTTATTCCACATCTTTTATACTATATCTTTAACATATGTGTAGATATATTATATGTGTAGATATGTGTAGATATTATGTAGATATATTATGTGTAGATATATTATAACCTATGGTTCTAACATACATTATATACATGTAGTACATCAAAACCAATGTTGTGTATATCATTTATGATTGTTTTATGTATACTTTCTAAACATTGTAATAACTAACATTGTCATAATTATTTGCAATATTGTAATTAATGGAAATAAAAATATTTAAAAAAAAACAAAAAAAAACAACATATGTGTAGTAGTAGAAATATCAAAGATTACAAATATGAATAAATCTGAAAATTGAAAACAAATTATCCCCACTCAGTTTTGTGTAGTTTGAATTTTCCTCCATTAGGCCTACGCCTGCGCCCAAATCTGTCTCATTTTCCCAAAACGCCTCACATATTGAAATATCCCAACCATGTACTTTAGGCCACTCCTAATCTTTTCATCTGGACTTGACGTCTTACCTCTCTCGTTTCGCTGCATATTTTGCATAACAGAATCGGGTGCTTGAAACTGTTGGTTGTGTCTACTCCGCACTTTGTGCACACAGCCTGTATGGTAGAAACATATTTTTATTTTAACTCATCAATAACATTTTTCAATTTTTACAGCATGTCTGTGAAGCTAGAATTAAATTCATGAACACTTATCCACAATTAGCAATTTACCAATTGAACAAACATACATTGAAAATACATCTTTAGTAGTTACAAATTAAAGGCATATAAATCATTTGCATTCATCCCAAAAGTACAGTAACCTACCAAATTATTATTAAAAAGCTTACTTGGATTAAAGATCGTACTGGTACTAAACACTCCATGAAATTATTTCGTACGGCTTGTTGTCATTTAGAAGAAATCAACAAAGGTACATGTAGGTGACTTCCAATGGTCAGTCAATTGATTGATTTTGACTGAGTGCTAAATTGACAAAATCATGTTTCGTGATCAAAAGGTAGTGCACGGGTTTTCACACTTATCTCAAATACAGGAGGTTTTGAAAATTCTTATTTGGATTTTGAGTGGTGTTATTATTTGGAATAAGCAAAAGGCACGAAAAGGCACGAAAAGGCACAATAGGAAATGATCTTATACGCCTTTATTAAGCTTACGATATTAAATTTCTAAAAATGACAGAAAAAAAGCAAAAACTTAAAATGGTGATATGCACAAAATGTACATGTATCTTTGCAACTTTAATTTCTGAATGCCATAAATTTGATAATAAACATGACACGTAGGTAAATTATAGGACAAGATAGGAATAAAAGGAAGCAATCATGTAGCAAGAAGGGAGGAAAGCCATTGGCTGAAGAAATCATGGAACTTTGAAATAGTTGGTCCGAGACCACGAGGCAGGCCACGGAAGACCTGGGATGAGACACTGGCAGAAGACCTCAGCCTGTCAAACCTCGCCAATGTAGATGTCAGATATCAGACTATGTGGAACAGGGCCATTAACAAAAGACAATGTCTCACCTCACAGCGTGGGAAAAATGACATGAAATGGAAATGATGATGATGATGATGATGAATCTAAAACATGCCCGTAAAAGGGATTGTCAAAGCATCTAATGAGTCATTGAATCAAATATTAATAAGCTCAAAACCTGGGACCAAAGCACAAAAATTACTGGACAATATTCCTGCAAATAAACCACACGGATCTGCTTATCAGCAAAGAATGCTTGGCACATTTTCTTTCCAAACAAAACACAAAATGTAGGCCAGAACCAGTCGCGAGCAGCACTGGGCTAGTCAAGCTATGGGCTCGGTGCGCCAACAAGAGAGGGCGCTTGTTTTGAGAGCCCCGTGGGCGGGACACGGTATTTTCTTCTTCTACGTAGGTCCACAAAATTGCTTAGGATCTCTTTGTACCTTATAACAATCATGGCAGGATAGCGGCGAAGCACCTAGCAGACCAAACTCGTCCCCACACAGGACACACTTCCCTGATCCGTTGCCAAGCGCGTTCTTCTTCATGTTGTCCAGTTTGTCCACGAGCCGCCTAGAGAGATATTTAACCAAAACAGCAGGGGAAATATGGTTAGTCTATATATTTCATCAAATACCTGAAATAGCTCCAAAAGATATTTTTCAAATCAGTACTAAGGAATATACAACAACTGCAAACATCATCAAACGAAACTACCTAATTATTATGAAATACCTTACTGGACTGTAAGTGAATAATAGTCTTGAGCATCCTGTGAAATCATGGCACCTGTTGTGCTGTCATTTTCAAGAAAAGTGTGATTTTTGTATCAATTTCCAACGACGGTCAGCTGACCGTCGTCCAATTTTTTTTACATTTTTTTTCAAATGCTGCCTCCAATTTATCAAATTTAGTTACTTCTTATTTGGTTGGCAATCGGTTACACAACCATGAACAGGTGCAAGCCAGCTAGTCTGGTTCCCTGACAATTCCCCGACATCTATAAGTTGCTCCAACTTGTCTGAAATAGCGTCAGGAAACCAGACTACAAGAACATCATTTTTTTTCTATGAACATCTATGAACACAAAACTTTTTAAACAGGTCAGTGTAACAACATTTGCTATAAAATACTACCCCCCCCCCCAAATCCATCCATTTCTAATAATTACAGCAAAAGCAAATCTAGTGTATATTACCATTTAAAAAAATGCTTTATGGATATTCGGTTGGCAATTGGATATTCTATTTTCTGTATATTCAGCACAACCCTAAGCTGAAGCAAAGAGACAAAATACATGAATGTGTTTGCAGGGGGAAACACCTAATGTACACAGAACGTGAAAACATCATGTGTACACACGTGTGCAGCGGATGAATCTGGTACAGCGAGTGCATAAATTTAATTACATTATTGATTTGTACTAGGCAGTGTCGCCAGTCTACAAAAGCACTAAATGAGCGATAGAACAATTAAATTGCTTCATTGACACTACTGCAAACAAAACAGCACTCCAAACATCCGAGCTGGCTTTGTCTGTTTATTAAATTAAAGGTATTCAGAGTGCTTCTCGCATAATTTACATGTAGTACATGCACACTAGATGTAGGGTACATGTACGTACATTTGTACATGTACATGTACATGTACATGATCGCATCCCGGTACTTTGTATGTATATGTACATGTAGTTAATATTACACAAATTTTCACTTAAGGTTGTACTTTTTTTTTTTAAAGAAAACATGAAACTGCTTATGATCTGTGTTTGCAACATTTGTGTTATTAAGTCTTACAAATTTTCAACATGTTTTCCTGACGGTTCATTTATGAAGCACTCATTTGCAATTTAATTTATATATTATACCGGTACATGTATTTTTGATGCATGAAAAAAAAGTTTTTCTTCAATTTTTCTATACATGTAATGACATTTAATACTGAAAAAGGAACATCTGCTCTCTTTCTATTGAAACAAATATGGAAAGTACTATGGAAAATCTAAAAAAACTCTTCAGCGTCACCAAAATTTACTGCCTAAATTTCATAGACAGCAAGTTTATTGCATTGCAATGAAAAATGAAAACATGGATTTTCTTTCTTGCAATCAAATTTGAAAATTTCGTAAAACCAGTCCCTACACAATTCATTAAAAATATATTAATTTTTTTAAGATTTTGTAAGTTGGTCAGCAACTGTACAGCAAAGCCTATACAGCAATGCAGTAAACACAGTTAATTCACATATATGTCACATATAACTGATATTAAGAACAGTGTTCTAGCCAGGCATCAAATAGCGCTAGCACCCGCTACGCTTTCGGAAATAAGCGCTACGCTTAAATCGCGCCGCTACGCTACCGCTACGCTATAAATTTTGGTTGCGAAAAAAAATATCTGCAGTTTGTTCGTATACAAGCGCAGCGACTTTGAGCATTGCGCACTGGCCGTACGACACAGCGAAAAATAAACAACGATCCCGCCGTACGTACCCCGTACGATACCCCTACCGTGATGCTGCGCCACACGCATTCGCTATGATAGCAATAAGCACGTGCTGTTTTGTGCTGTGCAAGTACAGCGCTCCGTAAAGACGTAGGTGGACCACACCATTTTGCGCTATCGGGTGTGCTTTTCTAAGGTCAATATTTACAAGCATTTTAACTGTTTCAAAATTATAAATAATACTTTTTATCAAGTCCGAAACAAATAACTGTTTTAAAATAAGTCCTTCAACGTCGGAACATAATTTTCATAAAGGATTTATTCGAGAAACGATGTCCAAAGAAAGGTTAAGCACCCCTACGATATCAATGGATCCGTCCCCCCAAGATGGCCGCATTTGAAGAATTCTTCTCGAAGAATGTCGCTGTCGAAAATTTGGATTTTTGACTACACTACTCGTTGCTGATATTAACAGTTCAATAAGTTTGGTAGTAAAAACGGATCTGTTTGTTCTTAGGACAAAACCAATCAGCAAGTATTGCAACAAAACAAGTTTTTTAGCGCTCCACGAATGCGTAGCTTTCTCAAATGCTGAGGGAAATTTGGTCGCGTAGTTCGCCGGCGTAGCCGGTGTGGGTTGGCCCGCGCCGCGCCCGCACGCCGGGCCGGCCGGGGCCGGCCGCGGCCGGGATAGGAAGCAATTCCCGGTTATTATTTCTCATCGTCATTATCTACAATTATATTTTTAACATAACAAAAATGAGATTTCTTCTTCACATTGTGTTGTAGTATATTAAAATTGCCATCGCCGACGACTTTTTATGTCTGAGACCTCCATGGTTTTACAATTTCTCTCCCTGCCGATCGGATGTTTTTTTTTACAAATTTAAAATCGGAACTACTGCTACTACGGCAGCGCTACACAACACAAGGCTTCTTGAAATATGAAATGTTCATGCGATTTGTTCTCACACTTAATAATAATATTGACAAAGTAAATCCCAATTTTTAATAAAACATTGAGGAACTATACTAAAAATGGTTAAACATCAGAAAGCATCGATCTTGGAACAACTTATATATTGTAAACGTAATCTAAAATTTGAAAACAGAAGAAACTTTACAGGAGCAAGAGTATTAATCATTGAAACAAATAAAACAAAATTTCTTATAATTTTAAACACTTCTGCTAAAAAAAATCAGGGGAAAGTGGCAGGGAATCGCCTCAGATTGCACCACAGAGCATCTAGAGTCCAAAATTTTTCGGGGCCCTTCAGCGGGCCCCGGACCCCACGCCGTAAGGGCTTCGCGCTCCGCGCTCGCATTAGTCGCCGACCCAAAATTACCCCTACGCTATAATTTCACCCTGGCTAGAACACTGATTAAGAATGCATGCAAAAAAAAATTGTACACAATTTAGGGGGGAAAAATCCACTATTTTTTCAATAGGAAACACAGCTTTTTTTTCTTGGCCTAATGATATATTTTAATTTTCATGATTTTGGAGGCGAAGAAAATTTTTGACGTAAGGCCCAAGCTTGTGTTACATTAATACATGAACCGTCTCACATCAGAGATAATCTGTTATTGCAAAACGGGTGGGCGATCAGGAATACAACACTATGAGCAGAAAGAACCAGTGTAAATTTGCACAATATGCTGAAAGGCCAAGACACCAACGCACTGACATGACTGACTCTCATGGCAGATTTTTAACAAATTTTACTGCAGATTTTTAACAAATTTTACTGTAAGTGAACTACATAACATTTATGTAAATAAGTTAGGCCTCACTGTTCAAGTCAGTTATTTCTGTTTGTCATGTTAAAATCTGGCTTATTTATGATCATTCTAAAAAATATTTTTTAAACATAATAGGGTCATTCCGTGTCAAATCAACACGCTTTTGGACCCGACCCTCACAGATTGAAACGATATTTGGTGTGTTGATTGGCCTATATGAGAAACCCCCAGAACTGAATTTTTTTGTAAATTGACTCGTTAGTTTTTGAGATACGGGTCAACGAACTTTTGACTAATTAGCATGACCTCCGAACTTTAAATACTTGTATCTCAAAAACTATAGCGCCTACAAAGTCAAGTTGTACATCATATTAAAGCTCTTTGAATGGCCTCCATTTCATAAAATAAAACCAAAATCGTAGCATGAAGTGCAGAGAAAATGCGTAACAAAATGACCTTTGACCTCGAATTACGAAAAACAATATGCTTCAAATTTTGTAATTATTTTTCAAATGTTAGTTTATGATGTCAGCAACAATCTTAAAAAAAAATTGGGATGGGCGCTCTTAAAGTTTTTAGGTTATGATTTTTTGAAGACAGCCTGTCCATGAAAAAGTATGCATAATATTAAATGTACATGTATGTACATGTACATGTACATGTACATGTATACTTGTACTGTGTACATGTACATGTGCACATTTTACCTGTGCATCATGTTTGCCCTTTACAACCATATAGTCTCAACTCATATATATTAAGGGCAGAACAAAATTACTTATAAAAAATATGTTATACCGGTCTATGTTACTTTCATTTTTCGCTCAACCAAAGTCTGTGTTGCAGTGTTCATCTCCTCGGCGGAGATCTTGTATACGCGTCCTGTTTCAGTGAACGGTTCCACTGCTGTTAATACATCCTTGCCATGAATTACAAGTGTGTCTGGTCGATAGGGGAACTTGAAAGATGGAGATGGCCCATGGGGATGAAGGAAACTCAGTTCCACTTCTTGGGATGCTGGAAGGATCTCCTGAACACATGCTAGCCACCAGTAACAGTCATACATCACTGTAACATACCCCTTGATATCTGCAAAATCAATACATGCAGTTTGTCCATGGACTTGGAGACAAACTGGTTCCTCCCTTGAGTCTGAGGAGGAGGAAAAATCATGCACCTTAATTTTGTCTTTAGACATCGGACAAAAACAGTGCAGCTTTTGTGTTCCTGGAATGGTACGTGCAATTTGGAATCTTTGCCTGAGAATATCCGCTTCATTCTTGTATTTCTCTGTTGTTGCAAAAGCGAAGTCAATACTGACTGAGAAGTAGCAAATTCATACAGCTGCCATGGGGTCATAATCTGCTGATCCAAAGGTCGCTGGAG